AAAATTATAAAAATGGAGGGTCCTTTGAAGTTATTTTAATTAATTTAGATGGTGTTTTTTACACCCAATATGTCTGAATAAGAACCGATTTGTTTCAGAAATAATACTTTAATTATCAAATTTCAGTTTTGCTTTTAATAGGAAATATTGTTAATTTGATGCACTAGGGAAAGTATTATGAGAGATAAAAAAAACATTTATGATTAATGTAGTACTTTGGTAATTGTAATCTGAAAAAAAATCAAAAAAAATGACACAAAAATTCTTTTTCGAAAATCGAATGTAAGTTTGCAATACATTGTACAATGTACAAGCCACATACAACATGCAGACTGGTAAACCATCACCTGATAAAATTTTCTTCCGTTTATTTTCCGTAATTTTAAGTTTCTCTTTTTCTATTTATAATCATAGCTATAGTCTATAGCTATGTTTCCTCTATTTTTAACTAATTGTCTTTAAACATCCAAAAATCTAGTTGATAAAATATATTTTGAACCAACATTGGGGGATTACAAATATTTAAAAATGACAAATCGTTAATTATTTAAACATTTCTGAAGATTATATTTATTTAAATTGTTTTCATTAACACGCAATTATTTTAATCGTTCACAAATTGTGGATNTAAAAAATCCAAGAACCTATATCATAAAATATATGTTGTTTGGAATTACAAATGACAAATCGTTAATTTTCCAAACAATTTTGATGATTATATTAAATTTAATTATTTTCATTGATAACGAAATTACTTTAATCGTTCACAAATTGTGGATGAAAAATAGATTTTTAATGTTTTATGCAAAACTTGAAAAACCACAGAAATTTCAAAATTCATCATGAGTAAACATGTTTAATACCAAAATTTTATTTAAAAAATGACTGTAGAAATTAAATTTTTTTTTTCATTTTGCAAAAAAAAAAAAATTAAAATAGACAAATATAAGAGCAAAAGGTTCTAGAAATTAGTACAAGAAAACAAAAAAAAACTCCAAAGCCTATGAACAGAAAAAAATATATATCAAGTGTTTGNCATAGAAACTTCAAGATTCATCATGAGTAAACATGTTTAATACAAACATTTTATTTAAAAAATGACTGTAGAAATTAAAATTCGTTTTTCATTTTGCAAAAATAAAAAATAAAAATATACAAATATAAGAGCAAAAGGTTCTAGAAATTAATACAAGAAAACAAAAAACTCTAAAGCTTATTAACAGAAAAAAATATATATCAAGTGTTTGAAATTATGTGTTACACTCTATATTCTTCAAACCCTCGGGAAATTTATATTATTATTGTCATTGTCGTAAACAACATCGTCTTGAGAGCGTCATCGCAAACAACGATATTGTTTGCGAAAAATACCGAACAGAATTTTATATTATTAATATTCGGCCATATCCATGCCTATTACACCAACCCTATAAAAACGGCCGGCACCAGTGCACGGGTACTGCAGTCGGTGTTCAGCTAACGTTGTATTTCAATCGACGCGAACTATTCGTATTTTCTAGACTTCAACAACTCTACCATGACATTTTACAGGACGGTTAGTTATTAATTTTTAGTAATTATATTATCATTGTTTATACTATTTTTAATGCTATTATTTTTTCGATTTGGCTAACAGTTTTAGTTTTGTAGCTAGCCTAATATTGTAGTTTACTAATTTTGGTGATGTGAGATTATTAGGTGAGATTAGATTTTGATATTTATTTTACTCGGTGAATAATTTTATAAAAATACATTAAAAATATAATTTTTTAATTTTGTTTTTAAACTTATAAATTACCGTACTCATACACAAGTTAAAACTTCTGAACTTCACATTTTTAGTTTTTTTTTTATGGTCCTTACATACGTCATTTGTATGGCCTATTTAAGTGGTTCGTTATCAATGAAATAATATTTAGGTATGATCAACCTATTCTCTTTTCTCGTTGGTTTTTTGGTTTTAATTCAGTTAAACATATTCCTAGTGACTTTTTAATAGAAAATTGTATTATAAATTATTGTTATAATAAGTGGTAAAAATAAAGGACGTCCTTGGCTGATTGGGACGGGTTAAGCAACTTTTCTATATATATTTATGTCTACCTATAAACAACGATAAACTAATGTTTACAAAAAAACGATTTCGAGCGGAGTTTCGTAAGATAAATTGGAAAAGCATCAACTTTTTCAGTTTTCCAAATTTTCTGAGAAAACTTGTTGAAAAATCGAAAAATTAACTTCTTAAAAAACATTTCTACACCGATTTACTTTCGAAAAAGTTCATTCACGTAAATACTGGATTATTACCTCTAGTAGAAAAAATTATCCACAAAAAAAAATAAACATAAGCCATAAAACGTAAAACCATAAGCTTCTTCGCTTCTACTCAGAATCTAATAGAATGTAACTTTTAGTAATTTTATAATTTTTAATACATATTATGATCTAAAAACCAATATGGTTTCTGACCAAGTATAAGGCATAGATGATGCTCTTCATTATACCACATAATTTATTATAATACCCTAGATTACGATTGGGCAAAGATAGCTGTTTTCTTAGACTTAGCTAAATCTTATGATACCGTATAATCTTGAAATTATATTATAAGTATTACTTGGTTTTGAAATAAGTAATTCGAGTTTTAATGGTTTCACCATTTATCTTACATTTCCCCATTTTTTTTTTCGGATTTTCACATTTGTTGAGAAATCTCTTTTGGGAAACCAAAAAGTTACCCCTTTATTAATATTTCCTTTCAGAAAAATTGCAATCATTAAAAGTTGGGGCAAAACTTCTGGTAGAAATTTGTGCACAGAAAAAAAGAAGACCGTATTATATTTTTAATTATACTTACATGATTTATATTTTTTTCTATTTCTCAAATTTGATGAAAAAACATTTTTATAAAAATGAAAAATGACTTCCTTAATGTATCTATAATTCTGATCATAGTTTGTTTGATAATGGAGCTTTGTCAACATAATATATACCATTTTATAGTAACATAATTAAATAGGCTTCATATATTTTCTGTATAGCGAGCTAATGCTAGGTCCTTAGTTACACCTAAAATGCTTTTGATTTCCTAAATTAGGGAAAAGCTAGGGAAGAAAAGTTTGAACTCGCATCCTTAAGATTGAAATTATGTATATTTTACAATTCGGCTTTAAAGAATTATTGACATTACATATAATATATCTGCATAAGCTCAGAACTTCAATAAGCTATAATGAAATGTACTTATGAAATGTTCGTAATTTATAGAATTACTATAGGAGTTTAGCCTTTCAGAAGAGAAAAACAAATTTGTCTTAACTTTAAAATTCATAATATTTCCCAAATTTATATATTATTTTCCACAATTATCTAATTCCGAAAACATTTAATTTTTCTCAATTTTGTTGAAGGATAGAAACATTAAATTTCCCTATTTATTTAAGAACTAAATTAAAGGGCTCCTTGAATATTTTATACATTTCGAAGGTGTTGACTTTTCTGCTAATGGTTTCAAACCAGCGTTGTTAAAATTTTGTCGAGTTGTGTAAGTTCAGCTGAATTAATGCAGGTGACGAAAATTCGTATAGTACCTATATGTAAATCAAATACAGTTGAACGTATAATATTCGTAAAANAACAATAATTTATACACCTTTTGATAATGTTATTGGGTATACACAGTGCTAACGTACACAAACAGATCATTCCGTCCGATCTAACCTTCCATGTTATTCGATAAATGATCGACAGTATACGTGGTATAGGTAAGTACGTAGTTCTTGTTTAAACACAACAGCGAATAGAAAAAATCTCTGCTCAACAACAAGTTTTAACTCCTTCCCCCCTTTGGCACCGTAATCTCCGTGTTTAGGGGGCCCGCGCCTTATGTCATTTCGATTTTTTTGTAAACTGTTACACTGTTGGTGGTCATCCGCCAACAATCCGATACTTGAGCATACTTAAAAAATTGCCACGTATAGTATTTAATATCTTTATTAAATTTACAAATAGATTACGTAAATAATAATAGTTCTGAAATATTATCCTTATTCCTGCCCTCTCATGACAAAATTATTTGACCGTCATTTGTTGAATATGTGAATAACCGATATTAACTGAAAATTGTCTGAAAACATTCTGGTTTTTCTGGCTTTCTTTTACGGGCTCCCTTAGATAATAATAAAACAAAAAAGAAAAGCAAACAAGTACTAATCTAAATTCGTATAAATTGCTCATAGAGTATACTTGATAAAAATTGTATAAATATTAATTATTTTTAATTATTTTAGATCCTGAGTGGAGCAAACAAGCTTATAAAGATGATAAAGTTTTATAAAGAAGTTTATTTTTCTTTTTTACTTTAAGCAACGTTTTTACCAGAAGACTTGCTCAGATTTCTAAGTGTAGCTCTCATTTCGTGACTTTTCTGAATTTTAGTCGGTTGACGGAGATCAATATTTGATTTTCTCAATAGTTTTCTCATCAAATTTGAAAAACCAAAATATACGAAATATACGAAATATATTTTTTAAATATGATCATTTTTTTTCCTATGCACAGCTTTACTACCAGCAATTTGCTCCTACTAATAATTATAGCAAAATATCTAAAAGAAAATTTTACTAGGGAGGTACTTAAAAGAGGCCATTTTTTAATTTTCCAAAGAATTTTACATATTATTGTGAAAAACCGGGAAAAGACATGGGAAATCTTGGAAAACGTAGGAAAATAAATAATAATAAAATAAATATATAATGCCTATTTTATTATTAAACAATAAAATGACATGTATATTGTTGAAAAATCATCGATATCGACTGACGTCCGCTTACAATCGTTTTATCGATTTTTACAAGTTTCTTACATTAAATGATCTATAATAGAAGCTGCACCTGTCCTCATTATCCTTGGACGTTTTTTTTATTATTTAATTTATCTTTGTAAAAAAAATCTCTCGAGGACAGTTGCCCTTATCGCCCTCGTCTCTAAAGGGTCTCCAGTTTAATCTCTTGTTATTTTTTATTTTTACAGATAATCATTTCATTCGTTATGGCCGGTATAATGATTCAACATGCGTCATGCTTTCCGAGTGGTGAAGGTTTTATGCATTCTTTGACACATGCATTTAGCGGCGATCACCACAGCAGTAGCGGTCACGAAAACAAAGTGAATACCGTAGCCGTCGTTCACGTTAACAATAGTGACATACATGAAAATCATCACGATGACATTAGCGATCACGTGCATGTTGTAGAACGTTCATCCGACCATCACATAGATGGTTATGGAGAGCATGAGGACAGACACGTATACGCGCAGGACGGACACAGATACGAATACGGCGATGGTTATAATAACAGTCATAGCATATCCGACGTCCGCACCCGTCATGTCTACAATACACCAGTCCACTACGAAACTCACCATTGCTAGACACCTAAACCAAGTTTTGATTTATATGACTAATATCCTACAACAAAATTTGAAGTATTCCAGGAATAACAACACGGGAGCACATAATTAAAATACTCGCACATAACTCCTACCGCTCGTATATAAACATATCGTTGTGATGTGAATATTGATATGAATTTTAATAATCATATTGTATTATTTAATATTTCGTTTTTAAATTGTATTGCATAAACTCCGAATATAACCGATTATCTATGTTGATTGAAATCTGCATCAGTGGATTTGTGTTTTAAATCGCGAAAATCGTGACAATCGTTTTACCTAATTAAATGATGAATTTTTCAAATATTTATACAGTGAACTTTATCAATGAAAAAACTGTCTCTCGATTAATTCAGAATTGATTCATAAGAAATAGACGTATTTTATTATGTTATACATGAGAGCATATTGAATTTATATAAAGTCATTTTTGAATTCATTAATTGTTGTGGGTGTTCAAAATCGTATCTTCTTTCGTTTTCTCGTCCTTAAGACTGTGTCGTTTAAATGAAAAGTAAGGGAACATCGAAATTTCCTTATTAAACTGCCTTCCAATCACCATCTGTCTTTATATTCCCTACATTATCTTAGCCAAAAAATCTTTGCAGTCTCGGCAATTTTCCACAACCATGTGGTATTACTGCACAGTAAACATAATATTTATCGTATATCTCAGGGAATAAAATCAAACGAATTCTGACAGCATTAAATCAACGTCCAATAAACGTGTGTGAGTATCTATCAAAATAGATACCGGCGTCGGTAACTTTGAGCTTTGTCGTGATGCAACGTAAAGTTGACAACACAAACAAATATATTAGAAAATCAATACTAAAAATTATTAAACAATGTCTAACATGTTTGATAATAAGGTCTTTAGAAATATTCGGTTTGAAGTATGTTATGGTGCCAAATTCACGTTACAAAAACAAAAAAAAAAAAAGAAGATTTTATTTAACTATTATATTTATCTCCCATCTAATCAGATTACGAAATATTTAAAAAACCTAATCTAAAATACTATAATGTTGAACATATTCAAACTACGTTAGATTATTGAGTTCTTTCAAGTGACAATAGGGACAATATAATAGAATATAATTTTCTATCAAATCAAATCATGATTATAATTTTAATAATAATATGACTCAAACTTACAAGTAAAAAAAAGCCGGGCAATATCCCATGTGGCTGGCCCACTCTTGTAAGTGAGAAGTTTGGAAGGTAGAAGAGGGGAAATTTTATGTATATCTTTAAGCAACGATAAGCCATTAATACCGAAAAACCGGTTCTAAATGAAGTTCAGTTGATAGTAATGTTTTGTCTAAAATATATATGTCATATTATGGTAAAATAAATGCATTGCTACTATATATTTTCTTTCATAATATAAGTTTAATATTTTACCGATTTCCCGTTTTTCCGACAATTTCCCATGCTTTTATGCTTCCATGTTTTCCTATTTATTGTGAAAACTCCTAGAAAATTAAAAAAATGACCTGTTTAAAATACCACCACCCCGGTCATATTTTCTATTAGAAAAAGTGCTATTATATTAATTTGGAGCGAAATCGCTAGTAGAAATGTTTTCCGCAAAAAAAAAATGCATTAAAAAAAATATACATCCTTGTAAAATCACAAGCTTCTTCGTTCTACTCAGAATATAAAATGTTTTAAACAATTGTTTGTTAAAAAAGTTATGATTTATTATAGATCCTCGAGTTGCTCAGAAGTGGATAAAAATCAGAAAATTAAACAATTCAAAAAACAATGAAAAAAGTTTTTTCTGATTTTGTCTTACAAGATTTTACATATTTAGGATTGCGGAATAAATTTAATTTTTCGATATTATTGATCAACAAAGCAATTATTGGTAATAATAGTGAATTTTAGATTCTAATCGAAGAAGCATAGGCTTTTCTGAAAGATAATTTGTTTGAATTGGTAATTTACGGGGATCATTTTTTAATTTTCCAAACAAAAATTAAGAAAAATAGAAAACTTACGAAAATAATGCTTTAATTCAATTATTCAATTTTTTTTTTCGTTGTAATATTTATAACTGAATTTCACTTAGAATCGTTTTTTGTTTGCAAACATTTTGACTTGCATTGATATAAAATTAATTACCATAGAGTATACTCTACTTTCCCAACCACTCACCTACCATAGTGGCTTATCCACGTTCGAAGTCTGTCGTTTGTTTTTTCGAACAAATGTAATATTAATTAGATGCATTAGATAAACTATTTTGGTTGAATACAAACTATGATCTAAACACCATTTTAGTTTCTGACCAGGTATAGGCACAGAGGACGCTGTTTATCGTACCACACAATTTATTTACAATAAACTAGATACGATTGTACAAAGATGGCTGTTTTCTTAGGTTTAGCTAAAGCTTTTGATACCGTAAATTTTAAAATTGCATTGCAAATGTTACCTAGTTTTGGAATAAAAAGTTTTAAACGAAATGTTAAGATAAATAATGTTATAGTTTAAGAGAATATTATTGAGTATTGTTTACCTCAAGGTAGTGTACTAGGTGTTATTTTATGGGTAATACACATAAACTCCGTATGTGATCTTAACCTGGATGTCTGGTAGTTACATATGCTGATGTTATATGACTACTTTTCTCAGAAAGTAGTGGAAAAAGTTCTATGTAAAGCTACGGTTGGTTAGAATAAAATTTATAAAAACTTTGTAATAAAAAACTAACATTAAAAAAAAAGCACTCAAAAATCCTGTTTGTCTGAAAAGACTTTCAGTGGACCGTCTGCAAGCCAATTGTCACTTCTATGGATTCGCCCAGCAAAAGGTGACATTTTTTGCTGACTCACTACATCCATATTTTTTTCCAAACCCATACAGTAGTTGCAAATACCGAAGACGGGCTGTTGTATTCGGTTCTCTCTATCCTGTATACCTAGGTATTGTACTTATTGTCACTATTACTTATTTCTTTAAAAGTATATATGTATATAATATTCCGGTAAGTAGACGGCTATACACATCCTGAAAACTGTTGTCTATACGTCTGAAGAGGGATAGGATTGCATATGCATTTTGCGTTGAAAATAGTATAAACACTATTGACCAGACTGCTACATGCATCTCGTTAAACGGCTGTGAATGTGGAACGGATATAGTCGTAGTGCCATCGTCTAACCCATTCACCTCCCTGAGACGGTTGTCTACACGCTTAGAAAAGGCGTAGGAGAAAATACAATTCTCGCTAACACTAGCATTGTCTATACACTTGGTTAACACGTTGTAAATTTTATTCATAATAACTATTATAGGTAAGTGTTTTTATCGACATAATAAAGGTATACGTATATATATTAAAATATAATCCGTACGACAGTACAGACACATATATAGAACCATTTACACACACACTAAACCAATTTTATCAACATATTACGCTGCGATTATATTCAAGGTCATATCCGACCATTTGAAAAAAGAAAAAAGAACATAATGAATACATCGAACATAATGCCAGGAAAATACAAAACCATACAAAAATATGGCCACTTTTTGCTAACAATGTTCACATCAACATATCTATGTGAAACTTCATATTCAGAAATGAAATTTGCAAAGAATTTGTACAGAAATCGGCTTACTGATTCACACATTGACGATGTGTTAAAAGTAGCATGCAACAACTACAAACCAGATGTATCCAAAATTGTGAAAAAACTATCTCAATATCAAAATGCACACGAATTTAAAAAAAATATTTAATTTTTTTATAATAAATTTTCAAATGTTATATACAATTTATAAATGTATATTAATTTTTTTTTTAAATCCATTTTCCGTTCATTTCGACTCGCTGCCCGCGTAATCTGGGATAAAATTGTTTGACTAAACAGGGATGTTTGGAAATTTAACGGGTAGTTCAATATAAATTGTAATTATTGGTCAAAAGCAAACAATTCAATTATTAATATCATCTAGTAATTTAATTTTTTTTTTTAAAAGTGATAAAATCAAAGTTTAATAAAAATCGGAAATATTAAGGCATTTCAGAATATTTATATACGAATAAAAGTTGGGCCAATCCACCTAGCTTGATAAATTCACACAAGTCGCCGGGTGAACTTACAAATTTGTTTTATGGACTTGCAATTACTTGGTATTTATAAGGAATTGAACGATACCAGTTTCGATCGCGTGGTCGAAATAGGTGGTCTACGTGAAGTTGGCCCACCTTCCTTCAATTTGTTCTGTATTTGAAAATAATGACAAATTTTTAAACCTTACTTGCTAATTCTTGCTAATTATTTGCTAAATGTTGGTATGGCTAAGATTGATTTGAGAGAAAGTTTGTGTGCCATATTCACGACCATTAGGATTATTGTGCGTGTGTGTGAGTGTGTGTGTGTGCACCCTTTACTGGTAATATTTACTAACCATAATAAGCTTGTATAATACATATAAAAGCGTTAGAAGTTTCATGCGACATGAGGATTCTAATGAGACTTAAATGAGGGTATGTTCCACAAGAGTGGTGAACCTGGTCAAGTTGTGTAGTTCAGTGTTGGGAGGTAGACAAAAAAATAGAGCAGATAATATGTGTAGCAGAAATGAAAATGCTTAGATGTATTAGTTAAGGTTAGGTGGAGTGACAAGAGAAGATAAAATAACGAATAAGTACATTAGAGGCATCTAAGGTGTGGTTTCGATATTGGACAAATGAGAGAAAAAAGACCGAGATGGCTCGGGTACCTATGTTATGAATAGAGACGAATCAGAAGCAGTAAGAGATATTAGACTCGGTGGAGGGAAAGTGCGAAAAGGTTTTTTCTTCCAAAGAGAACGACATTTATATTTTTAATATATATATATATATATATAATATTTATAAACATTGATTAACTGTTATACTGTTATATTATGATAACATTTTTCCGTTAAAATTCTAATTGTATATTTTAATTGATTTAAAATTGTAAAAATGTAAAATACGTAGAATTTCAGTGTGCCCGACTTAACATAAAACATCAATAATGTTACGGTTATTATGTTATAATATCATATACTACGGTAGAAATATTCGTATGCCTACATAATATAATGCAATAAAAATACATACGTATGGGTAGGTATAGTGGTGTGCGGGCTAGTGTTATAAGTAGGCTTTGTCATCCGCATTCTGCACAGTCTAATTTGGATTTAATGACCGGAAATTCCAAAAAAGACAGTGACACGCACGGAATTTGTATAATTTGTTATAAATAATAAGTTCGTTTTTAATTTTAATAAAAATTCATACGAATATATTACTTGTATACGAAAGGTCGATTTCCAAAATTTAAATGCCCCGGACTAAAACCGTGTCAGATATTGAAAATATCATTGTAGTACGTTATTTATTTTTTATGATTTAGGGCATAGTTTAAATTTCGTTTATTTTTTTTTTGTGTTCGGGTCGAGTCATATGGGTCATTTATGGGTTTTATGTCGACCACATTTGTTCACAGAACGCGATCGTGTTTATTTAAAAATAATTAAACAGAACGTTAACGCGGACGAGAGTTTCTTCTTATTTTTTTTTTTTTTTAATCACTGAACGTAAAGGAATTCAATTTGACGGTTAGATTTAAAAACTGCACAATGCATACCTACACATCATACAATACACATATTATACGAGTATGTATGCGCACTAATTAATAATGTGGTTTCTCTGTTTGCGGTAGATCATACGGGTATGGTGTTGTTGCATATTATAGCAAATATTAATTAAAATTCGTGGAACCGAAACCGTATGCAAATAATATAAGAGAACCGCCCGTCTAATTAACGGATCGGTACACGAATTCGAAAACAATAATTTTCGTCTCGCGCTATTTTCCGTATAAAAACGTTTTAAGACTTTTGCGTAGGTATTAGGTTATTTCGATTTAAAACGTTGTGCAATACTTTTAACGATGATCACAATTAAAACGTTACGTTATTTTTGCGTTATTTTATCGATTCTGTTATCTGTACAGCGCAAGAATGCATATATTTATATACGAGTTAACGTTAAAATGTAACTTGATCATTCGCCGTCATAAAATGTTATCGTATACGACAGTCAAAGACGAGTGAAATGCGTATGGAACAAAATATAGTACGCCCTACATACATACTATGCAAAAGTCACATCGGAGTCTACAGCGCGTTTGGGCTATGATTTGAGTTGTTCTATGATTATAAATCGCTATATTTAAATAAAATCCCTGGCAATTTAGCATCCAGGCACACGAGATAAAACTTATGTATTGTTTTATTTAATAGGTTAATAGTAAATAACGAAAACAATTTATTATTTCATACTTTCTATTAGGATGTAAAGTTAAGTTTTAAATTATTCCGCCGCGTGTAATCTTTTGATACTATTATACATTTTTGTTTTCCACCATGCTATTTTTATAGAATTTATGATTCTGAGCGGAGTGAGGAATTTATAGGTTTTAAAATGATGGTTTTTGTTTTCCTGTTTTTTGCTCCGATTTTCATTGATAACACTTTTTCCGAAAGAAAATTCGACAGGGATGGTACTTTAATAGAAGACAATTATTTGATTTTCCCAGCCGTTTTCATATTAAATGGGAAAACCCAGGAAAAAACGTAGGAAAAAAGGGAAAATAAATACAATATAAAACAAATATTATTAAAGAAAATATATAATGCATATGGAATTATTTTACCATAATTGACAAAGTAACATTATTAACCGAACCCCGTTCAGAATCGTTTTTCTTTAGCAATGGTTAACTGTTACACACAGATACATAAAATTTCCCCTTGCCTTCCAGACTTATCACCTACAATAGTGGCCTACGTGCCAAGCATGTCCGTCTTTCTCATTTTAGATTTGGAGGGTGACGAGGAATGCATTGGTTTTACAATGATGTTAACATTTTTTTCTTATGTTCTTTTTATTTTGTGAACAACTTTTCTACCAGAAATCTTGATTCGATGTATCAAGTGTAGCACAACTTTTGAAAGGAAATTTTTTTTCTGATTTTCCAAGTGGTTGACATAATACTTGAAAAAACGGGATACTAATATTTTTTTTTTTTTTTTTGTAATTCAATTAAAATTATTACTTAGAGACTTGATGTTTTGGCAGAAAAATTAAATAACCCTAAATCGGAAAAACGTCAAATATTTACGGCACGCTACGGCTCACAGTAGTCTGAATCGTATTTTAGCTTATCTAAAAGTAAATTTAAAAATTATGTCAAATATGATTTATGCTATAGAATTATTGATAATTATACATGTACTATAGATATAATTTAATGCTTATTTTACATTTTACTCATCACAAACCCAATTAAACACCTACCCATATATATATAAATATAGTATATAAAACTGCAGTTATAATAATTTCATTGTCGTACGGTAATATTAATCTCTTATAAAATGTAAGGTATAAATACATTTTTTTTTTTTTTTAACATAATATGGAAGCTACAGAACAAGGTACGTTCATTGTTATAGCTTTTAAAATTTATTTGTACAAATTATTCAATTTTGAATCTGGAAAACTTACTAGGAAATATTTACTTGAATTAATATATAAAAAAACATTTTAAAGAAAAGAATAATATTTTTATAAATAATAAAATTAAAAATAAATTACATAATATTTGTATAATTTTAAAGAAGAAATAGATAAAACATAATAAACATTGTGACATATTTATTCAAAAAAAAAACCGATGGCTTAAAACTATTTTTTATAGTTATTCATCTAAAACGTCTGTATTTCCCGCTAAATTATTTAGTGAATACACTATTATCCACACAGGATAGTTTCAATTATTCTACACCGATTGACAAGTGACAAATACTTAAAATTAAAATGGTCTAATACACAATATTATTATCAATATCTTATTTTATTAATTGGAAATTTAAGGTCAATGTTAGCTACCTACCTCAGTTGTATACAATTTCTAAATTTAATAGTTGGTTAAAAATCTCTATGAAATTCACATCCTGCACCTTATAAAACATATAAATTGATATAAAATACAAATAATATAAAACTTAAAAAATTCCTTGGGGTTTCCCCATTTGTTTCCGGATTCGGAGTTCCTGCAGGAAATTTTAAAGACTTCCAAAACCAAATTGTATAATTTTAAGATTTTACCATTGGATTTCAGATGGCGGATGGGAGTTTCTATCAAATTGATGACGAACAAGGTACTGATCGAATATATATATAACATAACATATGTAGTAGGTACCTATAATATACTATTGTGTAAAATATAGTGATTTTTACTTTGTGAAGTCCCTCTCGTAGGTATCTATTATACATATAATAATATAGTATACTAAATAGTAAATCGTAGTCAAACACGAAATTGGAAACACCTACGAAGTAGGAATACTTGAATTTTTTTTTTTTTTAAACATCAAATGGATTCTACGGAATAAGGTAAGTACATTATTTTAGCTTTTAAAATGTATTTGTGCAAATTATACAATTTTTAATCTAGAAATCTTGCGTTGTTTCTAAATAGTTTAAAGGCGTATTACTTAGTATTTATCACTTGTTACATTTTTTCACCATGAACATAAATTATAAAATAACTTTTGAGCTTTTCAGATCTATAAAAAATGTTTACGAAATTTGCAAAAACACAGGAAATTTTGGTTTCTGTATACAATGGTATAATATATATTTTATAATTGGAAATTTTATATAAACTTTACCAACCTACCTCAGTTTTATAAAATTTATAAATTTAATGGTTAATTAAAAACCTATACAGATTTGATTCAGCGCCCTTTAAAAAATATAAATTAGTATAAAAATATAAATAACCTAAAACTTTAAAAAGCACCCCATAGTACCACTAAGAGGTCACTTGAAAAACGAATGTAACATTTAAGTTCAGCACCATTTAAAACATATAAATTTAAAAATTTATATAAGAAATACAAAATATGTACAACTTTAAAAAGTACCCCCGCAGCCCCCTAACTAACAGATAAATTGAAAAACGAATAAGAAATTTGTGTTTAACGTCCTCAAAACTTAAAGGTTCGGTGTATCATACTATCATATAAGTTAAAATTTAAGGGTAATTATATTAGGCAAGATAAATTACGATTCAGACCACTGTGCGCCGTAAATATTTGTCCATTTATTAGAACGTACATCATAATGTATTTTTCATTTTTTTTCTCCAATTATTATGAAAAGAGCTTGAAAAATCAAAAAATTGCCTGTTTAAAGCACGAACTTGGTAAAATTTCTTTTCCTAAAAGGTAAAACACTTCATTCGAAGAAGCAAGATTCCTAATGAAAGAGAAGCACACAACTACTAACAAATAAAAAAAAAAATACAACTACAAAAACACTATCATAATAAAACCAATAGACTCATATAACTCCAAATCTAAAAAAAATTGTGAAATTTATACAATCGAACCAGTGAGCTGATAATTAAAATATCCAAATTTTAGATAAAATATTCTTTTGTATTTTACTCATATTATGAACTTTTTTTTAGATCAAGTTTTGAGTTTTTTTCAGGCTACAATTATTATAAGTTTTAAAACCCGATTATAAAATAAAATATTAACATTTTTTTTTTCTTTCTTTATAATTTGAGAGTGTAATTTCGATAACTTTTAAAGCATACGGAATATAAAGTTTATACATATATAATGTATAAATGTATAATTGAAATCTGTTGTTTTAGCTGAATTTATTCAGGTGACAAAAATTATTATACTATTATCTGTATCTACTATATTATCTGTATGTAATTTAAATACAGATGTCTATATTGTATTGGCAAGAATTGTATATTTTATACATCTTTTGATGATGTTATTGGATATACACAGTGCTCGAATTGTAAGAATAATAGAAATAGAACTGTAAAATGTAAAAATTATAAAAAAAAGTAGCTTCCCTGGCAATTATTGAACTCTACCCAAACAATAGTGGTCTTTTAAACAACAATTTATCTGTAATTGAACCACATTGTTCCTGAAATAATGCTCCGTATATCAAATGTATGAGCTGTTTCTAATGGGAAATGTTGTAAATTTGGTACATTGAGAAAGTTACTTTTTGATTTTTGGTTTTAGAAAAATCAATAAAAATCAAAATCAATGGATTTAAAAAATCAAAATGATCATAGCAATTTATAGCTAGTTTAAGTTTTTATATTTTTTATATTTTATATATTTGATTTTATATGTAACAAATTAATTAATTTAATTGAAAATACTCAATTATTTGGTAATTCAAAAATGTATAACTTGATAGAAAAAAATAATAAAAAATAATTGTAAATATTTGTAACAATACAATTTTGTTTTAATATATATTTATATAATAACTATGTTGGAATTTGCGGAAAATCAAATTTTTTATTCTAAGATTGCAAAAAAAAAATAAATGAATATATTAAATCTCTAAAAAGGCTATGGACATTATAACATCGTTAAATTCGTAGCCACCAACATCGTCTTGGAAGCAATTTTTGTTGTTTACAAAAAATGTCAAATTAAATTACGTATATTGTTATTCAGCCGTACCTACACTTGTCTACTACATGAACTCTATAAAAACAAACAGTACCAGGCTACGGGTTTTGCAATCGTATTCCAATCGACACTAATTATTCTTATCTCATATCTTCAACACCTCTTGTCATGAGATCTTACACGACGGTTAGTTATTATTTATTATTAATTTTATAATTTATATTTCTATAATTTGTTTGAATTGGTAAATAGTTTTAGTTAGTTTATAGCTAGCTTAATTTTTGTAATATCGTAATTTTAGATCGTTAGATGAGACAAGTTAGAATAGTAATTAATTTGTTTTACTCGATGAATTATTTTAAAAACTGAATTAAAACCACGTCAAACGAGAACATTTCTGGAATTCAGGTGACTCCTATTCACTGAAAATAATATTTAGGTAAACATAATCTTTTTTCGTTCATCATGTAATTCAATTTGAAAAAAAGGTAATTTTTCAATATTCTTAAGTTTTCTCATGAAATGTGAAAAACTGAAAAAAAAATTGAAGAAAAGGGGAAAATGTAAAAACGTATGTATTTGTTAAAAATATTACGGCGTTTTTTTTCTTATGGACTACTTTTCTACCAGTAATTTCACACAATTTATAATGATAGTAATTTTTCTCAAATGACATTTTTCTTGGGAGGTACTTTAGTGGGGTAATTTTTCGATATTTTCAAGAGTTTTCCAGGAAAAATGTAGGATAACCGGGAAATTTGGTACAAAATTAAACAAATCCTCTTACAGCGTGAAGTTAGCGGGAGATTTTTATAATCGTGAATAATCGATGTTAAGATGAAGCACAGATTTTTATAATTATATATTCCGACAGCACTAATTGAGCACTAAAATATGCTGGTTAAACTAGAATTAGTGCTTTTCAAGTTCCCGCTAACTTCACGGACCTTATAAGTCGACACATAAGCTTTTTTTTTTACTTAGCTCTGTGCCTCGACATTTCGTATTATGTATTATGCAATTTTTATTTTCATCTCCTAAATATGACAATAAAAATAACTTTATCTCTTCACTTTAAAAAATGTCCAAAAAAGCTATTATTTATATTCATATGCAAAGTATGTTTTTACAAAATTCGAGATAGCTACTTTATAAATTTTTAAACATTTATTAATTGCGAGTCGTTAATTTTCTCTAGTTTCTTGAAGTAAACAACTTGAAATGTTTTAAAAAAAATTTGATGAATCGATTGACATTTTTACTAAGTTCAATGAAAACAATTTAAATTATCATAACTTGTAAAAAGCATGGTGTAGCCACTGCCACTGTTATAGATAATTTAATACATATCTGTTAGCAACGATCAACCATTGCTTATGAAAAAACGATTCTGAGCGGAATTTGGTTGACAGTGTTGCTTTTTCAACAATATATTTATGCCATATTATGGTAAAATAATTACATATACATTATACATTTTCTTTAATGATATTAATTTAATATTGTACCTTTTTTCCAGTTTTCCACATTTACTGGGAAAATCAAAAAATAACCTCCTTAAATTATCTTCATAGTCGAATTTACTTTCAAAAAAAGTGCTTTCATTCAATCATTATAAATCGGAGAAAACTTGCGAGTAAAAATGTTGTCTAAGGAAATGAAAGATAGTAATGTTTTACTTAAATTTTCTGTTTTTTTTCCAGTTTTTCCTACTTGATAAATATTTAATATTATATATCATGAATCTAGGAATTATTTACTTGAATTAATATAAACAAAATCATTTTAAAGAAAAGGATAATATTTTTAAAAATAATTTACATGATTTTTATGTAACTTTAAAGAAGTAGATGAAACATAATAGACATTGTGATATATATATTCAAAAAGAAAACCAATGGCTTAAATCTATTTTTTAAAGTTATTCACCTAAATTCTTTTCGCTAAATCATTTAGTGAATGAACTATTATTAACACAGGATGACTAAGTGACAAATACTTAAGAATAAAATGGTCTAATATGTAATATTATTATCAATATCTAATTTTATTAATTGGAAATTTTATGTCAACGTTAACTACCTACCTCAGTTATAAAATTTATAAATTTAATAGTTCATCAAAAACCTATATGGAATTCGCAATTTGCGCCTTTTAAAACATATAACATAGAAAAAATGCAAAACTTTAAACATATCTAATCTATAATATCTAAAATATGTTCCATCACTTGAATATAAATCACAATAAAGAACAATATAAAGCATAATGAAAATCAAACAAGAACTAATAAAACAACTAGAAAACAATTATCTATCAAATCTACCCCTGATATTGATGATGTAAAAAGAAAAGTTATTCAAAATTATATTAGTAGGTAATAGGGGATGATTTTCCTTAACGCTCTACTCAAAAATTTACTACGAGTGTCGTCTTTTTCTTTTTTCTTTTTTTACAGATAATCGCAATAATCGTTGTGGCCCTAATGGTGATTCAACAAGCGTCATGTAAACCGGTCCCAGGACAGATGGTTGCCTGTTTTAAAAGTGATAGTAAATCCGTTGGACAACCTGAACAACATCTACCAGTTGACTTCTCATTCATAAGCGAAAATCACGTCGACCGAAATTTTTTACCCAAAGTCGATATAAAAAGGAGGGTGAAAAATTCAAAATATGGCAATCGTTAATGGCACAAACATTTTATCTATTAGGCCGCTATTGTAGCTATCTATGCGCTTATACATAAAATAAAATAACGTCTATGTGTAATTGTCTTTTTATTATAAAATAAATATTTATTCTGCATTAAAATGTACAGCAGCAGTTTTGTACACTTTAGTAAAATAGTTAAATTTTAGTTAAATTATATACATACTTATAACAAAACATTTAACATTGAACATCGTTATAATTTATCAGTATAGTTAAGATTTGTTCATCAAAGTTTTTGGAAGAATTGTAACAAATGTTCCATAAACCAAGTATAAATTTAGGAAGCAATTAGATTGAATTGTAATATAGAGGCTGTATTTTCTTTGTGGCTTATACAGCCTTTATAAGTAGTAAAAAAGAGCCTATTATTTATTTGTAGTTTTTCTTGTTTCTAATAATTTTCATTAATTAAAAACTCATTTTCAGACTCTTGGACATCATGTAACGTATCTCAAAAATTTAAACCAACTTTAATGGCATATATGCATCACAGAACAATGAAAATTTAGTCCAAAGAGATTATATATTTAATTCTAGATTTCAACATTGCAGAGCACCAAAATTATAACGAGGAAATTACTGTTAAACTCTGTTAAACTAAATTCCATAAACATGACACTTAAGTCCTCTAAAGGTTTCCACTTCCTACACACTGCGGTATACACGGTCCGAAAACGATACGGTCACGGTGGCAGTAAAATTAGTCTATTGATTTTATATAGTATCGAACACACCGATGCGATAATATTATAATTAACTGGTGGACAGTACTCGCGCTAATATTATTTGTGCGGTTATTTGTTACACATTTGTAGAGTTATACATTTTGTATAGTTTGTTAGTAAAAACGTAATTGTTTGATTTTCGGTAAATTTTTCCTAATAATTACGAAAAACCGGGAAAAAACTTAGGAAAAAAGGCAAAGCCCCAATTGGAAATTTATTTGATGACTTACACTGACACTCATGCAAAAGGTGCAGTACTTCACCTGTACTAACTACCCAATAGATGGCTAGCTCTTACGGGTATAGTACTGACCATGATTTTATCCAGTACTACTCTAGAACTAAAAAACTAATTCTGGCGGCCAGTGTTGACTCAATACTAACATACTATTGGCACCGAAGGTATTTCGAGCGTGGACCAGTCAGTATTTGTCGTAGTTGTGTTAACGTTGGTGAAAAACTGGTGTATTACGGGTTCTGATTCAATTGCAAGCAAGAGCCAGTCAGAGTTATCTCCGTAGCAAAGTCAAAAACATATCATTTGTAATATAGTTGGTAGTTAATAGTCACGCTTAATTGGACCTGGTGAAATACCGCGTAAATCGCGATTAAGGACTGTAAACCGTGAATAACATTGTGAAATCGGCCTTTGTAGTAAAGGTTCTAATTTTATGTTCGTTTCATGTTACACTGTGTAAAAATGAAATTTAAAATAATTGTTAAAATGGTAAAAAAAGGAATTGGAATCAACATGTAACAAAAAATCGATGGAATCTATCTTGCCATCGCATCTCATAACCGTTAACCAGACTACGTCCATTTTCCTTCTCCTAAGCATATTTAAATTTTATATAATAGGTCAGTTTAATCTAATATAAACCTCACACTTTAGACACACAGTTTAAGTCATACGAAGTATAATAAATAAACTGCGTCATTTCGGACAAAAATCAGTGTCATTTACTCAGTGTGTGTCGTGTTTTCTTAAAATAATTGTATACAGATCAATTACTTACAATATTTTAATAATTAACAGTATTCAAAATTTATGTTATCAGTGTAAAATCAATTGAAATTTAAAAAAAATAAAAAATAATTTCACGAGTTCCAACATACCTACATATTTGTTATTCATGAACAACTGAACAGGTGTATTTTTTAAATACTGGTATGAATTTAGCTATCATTATTTTATTATTATTTTTTTTTCAATACTTTATTTATACATTTGTTTGTGGTTGGGTTCTTCATAAATCTACGATTTACTACTCTTTCTCGTATATTTTATATTCCACAATATTATCATCATTTATCGTTCGTGCAACGCAACGTGTCTACAGGGACCATAAACTAAATTCGCGTACAAATGGGTAATTGACTTATTTCCGTTTTGACAGATTTTACAGTATTCGTATACTAGTATACAAAGTGTACCGCAGAGATCTGACAAATACAATAACTTTTTTCTGTTCAATATTTTTAACTATTTTTAACTATTTTTTTTTTTTTTTTTTTTTTTGTAATAATTACTAAATCATTATACTATTATTTTTATTTATGTAAATACAGTGTATTCCACCATGTTTGACGGATTTTTGCATTACATTTTTTTTTTTTTCAAACAGTTTGTCTTCGAAGGGAACATTGATTAGGAGAAAAATTAAATTGTTATTTTCATCCCTGAAACACAAATAAAACAACTTTATTTGTTCACTTAAGACAATTTTCAAAATAGCCATTTTGTAAAAAATATTGTTCTAGACATTTTAATGTATCATAAATTTTATATCCGAAGAATAATTTCTTAGTGATAGCTGATTGAATTAGGCGTGAAAAAAAATTAATATTCAATAAAATAATACATTATGTGATACAATCGGCACGGTAATTATTTACCTTCTACTGAATACTAATTGTTTTCACGCCTATTTTCTAGAAATTAAAAGGACTATAATTAAGAAACTATTAATTGGATATGAGTGTATGATACATTACAATTTTTAGAAAAATATGTTTTACTAAATTCCTATATTGAAAATTTTCTAAAGTGAATAAATAAAAAGGTTTTTTTTTTATGTTTAGGGGATGGAAATAAAAATTTAATTTTTCCCCAAATTGATGTCGCCCTCGAAACCGATTAACCAATAAACCGATTGAAACAAAATAATCGAAAAAATAATAATATAAACAGCACTAAAAAAATCCTTTAAACATAGCGGGACACACTATACATATTTTATAAACTTATTTTAAAACAAAATATTGATATTACAAATTTTATTCTGAGCAAAGCGAGATATGTATTTTTTTACAATGGTGTTTATTTTTATTTTCTGTCGACAACTTTTCAACCAGAAATTTAGCTCCGATTTACAATGATAGCTCTTTTTCTGAAAAGAAATTTAATTGGGCTGGTACTTTATGGAAGTAATTGTTTTCATTTTCCCAGGAGTTTTCCAAGTAAATGAAAATAAAAGAGAAAAACGAAGGAAAAACGGGAAAATAGGTAAAACATTAAACAAATATTATTAAAGAAAATTTATAATGCATATGTACTTATTTTACCATAACCTAGCATATATTGTTAGTAAAGCATCGATGTCAACTGAACTCCACTCAGAATCGTTTTTTCGTAAGCAATGGTTTATCGTTGCTTACAGGTTTACATTAAATTATTTATAACAGTGGCTGTGGCTACACCCATCCCCATTATCCTAGGAAAGCTTTTCACAAGTTATGATAATTTAAATTGTTTTCATTGCACTTAGTAAACAATATCAATCGATTCATTAACTTTTTGTTGAAACATAACTGTTGTTAACTTCAATAAATTATAAAAATTAAAGGCCCGTTATTAATAAACATTTGACAATTTATAAAGCTATCTTAAATTTTGTAAAAACAAACTTTGCAAAAATTTTTATTTTTTATTTAAAAAAGATGTCCTAGGATAATGGGGAAGGGTACAGCGACTGCTATAGATAATTTAATATTTACCTGTAAGCAACGATAAACCATTACTAACGAAAAAACGATTCTGAACGGAGTTCAGTTAATAGTAATGCTTTTTCAACAATATATGTCATTTTATAGTAAAATAATTAAATATGCATTATATATTTTCTTTAATAATATTTGTTTAATGTTGTAGCGATTTTCCCAGTTATCCTACGTTTTTCCCTGTTTTCCCATGTTTTCTTCCGGTTTTTCATATTTGCTGGAAAATTTTTTCGGAAAATCAAAAAATGATTCTAAAATTACCTTCCTACGCCGATTTCCTTTCAGAAAAGGTGCTACACTTAGAAATCTAAACAAGTGTTCTGATTGAAAAAGTTGCATACAGGTAAAAAAAAATTAATAAACATCTTTGTGAAACCATAAGCTTCTTTGCTTCACTCAGAATCTAAAATTCAAATAACATAGAAGTGTGTTACTTGAAGCATCTTGTTAACTAGTTTTTTATTTTAAAATAGTATATACAGAATTTCTCTCTCGTATTACTTATTTCTTGTCACGCGTTATCATTTTTCGGAAGATCCAACCTTATTTCTTTAATATAATGTTCTGTAATATTTTCCGATAAAATACCATCGGCTGAAATATTTTTCGGATCGAATACGGTTCAGCTAAAATACGGTTCGGCTGATTTATTTTTGGTTTTTTACGCGCTCCGTATGTATAATTTAGTGGAACATAATAAAGGAATGTGATTTCCAATAAGACTACAATGTTTTTTATTGTACGAACAACCATCACACCAAGTACAAGTGTGCAACGATTCAAAGAGGATTGCGTAAAAAATCCGAAGATAGTTAAATTGAACCGTAATTTAACGGACAAATATTTAATCCAAAACATATTTTAACCGAACCGTATTTTAATCGATATATATTTTGTCCGAACCGTATTTTAGCCAACACGTATTTAATTCGAATCTTATTTAAGCCAACAAAAATTTAGTCAGAACTGCATTTGAGCTGACAGTATTTAAGCTGACAAACATTTAATCCAATTTAATCCAATAATCCGTATTTTAGCCAAGACATATTTAATCCAAACTGTATTTCAGCCGATAAATCCCCCTCCATTATAACTAACGCTAGTACAACACAACTAGTAGTGTCGGTAATACGTGTTGGACGAAATATGTTCCGGATTAAATATTTGTCTTAGTCGACAGATTACGGTTTGGCTGAAATATTTTCGGCTTTTTTACGAGGTCTTTAGAAAACACAGTAGAAAGTGTATTAACGGAAGATCAATTTGGTTTTAAAAGACAATGCGAAAAAGAGAAGCTACACTTGAACTTAGGCAAGTGATTGAAAATTAAAGTAAGAAGGACTAACTAGATTTAGATTTTTTGTAGATTTAGAAAAAACCTTCGATATTATAAAATGGAAAACATTATTTAAGATTTTAAAAAAATCCGGCGGTACAAATTTAAACAGTAGAAGAATTAAAAGACTTTATAAGAACGAAATAGAAGGTGTATATTATAGGGATACCAAGAAAAATGAAAGCAGAGATTAAGAATGGTGAAGGACATAGATTTTTTTTATCTCCGTGTCTATTTAATTTGTCAATGCAGGAAGCAGTCAATAGAGGGAATTGATATAAGTAGAAATAAAAATGCAAGGCGATAAGTAGATATACTATGATTTGCAGATGACATAGCAATTTTAGCAAACAGTGAAGATGATTGATTAGATGATGATTAACAACAATTGATTTTATATTCAAAGAGGAATACAACACAAAAATAAATAAATCGAAAACGAAGATCATTGTCTTGTGTGTAGCCGTAATGAATTAGCTAAGCCGGATATACATCTAGACAATAGTTGATGTAGTCGCTGAGTAAAAATACTTGGAAGTATGATAACAAACAACGGAAAATATATCCGAGAAATAAGATGTAAATTGCAACAAACGCGTTACGCATTCCAAAGAAATAAGGACCTACTTACCTCCAGAAATATAAATATAGGAATAAGGAAAAATATACTGAAGGCCTATGTACCTATGTAAACTATGTTTGGAGCGTAATGTTTTATGGTAATAAGACATGGACAGAAATTACTTACATTTGAAGCATGGTGCTACAGGAAACTGGTCAAAATAAGTTGAGTGGATCATACGTACAATGAATGGAGAGGTATTTCGAAGGAAGGAAGACACTTCCTAAAGGTCTTGAATATTAGGCTAAATTAATTGGGCATACCCTATGACTTATCAACCTACTAGAGAGAATAATAGAAGAATCCATAGAAGAGAAGAACAACAGAGGAAAACCATCACTCAGTTACATAGGTATCATTTAGCTAGAGATATAGAATGCACACTTTATTGCGATTTAAAAATAAAAGCAGAGAAGTGGGAAGAATAGAGGATTACTGTCAACCAACCTCTGGGCACATTACGACTATAAAAAAAAGGTAGCTTTTTGAAAGTGTAATTTTTATTTTTCAATCTAACGTTATTTAAGTGTAATAATTTTATAAAAAACTGTAACTAGTTAAGTTACTTAGTTGTAACAATATACCTTTCAAACTAATCCGTGCCCTGTTTAGATATTCAAAATATAAAAAATAAACATAAATATATAATTATTAGGTTATTATATATTATTTGTATATTTGTGAATATTTAAAAGTATAATATGTGAAATTGAGTAAATAATATTGTATCTGTATCAAATCGTACCTATTGAATAATCTAAACGCCTAACTAATGGTATAAACAACTGACTTTCACATTACAATAAATAAAATAACGTATCATTTAATATATTATAATATAATAACCATTGATAATCTAAATTTGTAAATTATAACATAGATTCCTAGTTAATATTGTACAATATAATCTTTCGATGGTAAATATTATTCTTGAAATTCTAATAATACAACCTCATATATCCAATATTAATTAAATATGATAATATATTAATTTTCTTTCATTACTATATCTAATATTTGATGTTTTATGAACAAATATCCCCGTAGAACCCAGTTGTCAGAAAAATTACAATGCAATTGTTGCCACAGTCGCCTGCAGCAACACCAACATCGAAAGTTAAATTCATCCCCACGTCCGAACTCGATACTGTTATAAGGAAATTAATGCCTTTAATGAATACTTAAAACCTTTAGTTGAACAATTTGTTCTGAATAGAAATAAAGAAAGGGAAGGAACACAAATTGTCAATTCGAATAGGTCATATTTTGAAGTAGACAATTTACAAGGACGATAAAGCACATGAACCATAATACGAAATTTCAGTATTATGATATTTTGGCAATAGTGAAATATTGTGCTCTACTGCCTTTTTATTTTTCTTAAAACTGGTAATATTTGCTCTAGGCCTTAGTTTCTAATTACTGTATAATTGTACTAACCAATCTAACGATATACGGTGCTGGATCCATGTATGGCCGTAGATCGATAACGATGGTTCTTTCGTCTTCTTCGATATTTAACCTCTAAAACGTTCATATAAAATATTAATTATTATTAGCTATCAGATATTTAAATTTAAAATAAATATATACATAGTTCATAAAAACACGTACCTGAAACAATCGACTGTCATGACAAGTGTACGTAGACTTTCTAATAAGGTCCAATTTCGTACAATAGTTTTCGTCATGCAAAGGGGTCAGATATAAATTGTGTTTGAGTATGACATTCAACTGAGACCGGAGAATAAATCCCTTTAATAATCCGTAACATTTATGCTCTTGAGTCTTTGTCTGCGAACACACAATGTTTTGGGTCACGTTATTATTGTATTATTAACAAACAAGTAGGTAGGTGAACCTATGAAACTTGATAAATCCTTTAATATTCAAATTATTATAATATTATTTACTCGACAGAAGCAAACTTTCGATGCTACTACAGGAAAACCATTATGTTTGGTCGTGTTCAACGTATCCACTAATTTCCCGACCATTAATATTTGTGGCAACACGCAAACCGTATCGCTCATAAAATCTTCTGTCGTTATGTCACTGGTTAGAGATGGCGGTTCGCTCGCCAACAAAGGTACGCCGGACAGTTTAATCTGCATTTCGTATATTCCCTTGAATGCAAATAAAATCGATTTGATAATATTGTTTAGTATCTATGTCATTAGAAGATTTTCAAAATTGTATTGTATTAGTTAAATAAATATTAATTTTATTAAAAATAATAAATGTATGTACAATATACACATTATAAATGTTTCTGTTTTAATCCAACTACTATTTATCCAACTACCTATATAATATTATGCATTTGCAATAGATTATAATGTTTTATAACACGAAAAATATGCACACACATAATATTTAGGACAAGATCTGGAATTTCGAAGCACTTTGTATTGTTAACCGAAACTTGCTGTGCAATATTCGTATTGTTACAAATTCGTTTCATGTATTATTGAATAAGAATAAGAAATTTAACTGTTCACTTTTTGACAATTTTGATTATAAAGAAATTTTCTTCGTAATTTGTATTGATTAAATTGTTTGGCCAAACAGAAGTGCTTGCAAATTGTACACAAGTGTAATGTAGGTATTGTATTTCGTGCAACTAGTAAATAAAGATCATTTTTATTAAAAATATTTACATCTGTGAAAAAATCACCGGTCCATTTCGCCGTAAACAAAGTGACCATGAGTGGCAATAAAAATTGTAAATTCCCCGTGGCTTCAATAAAAACCACTGTTAGACTTATGGTGGCCCTGACGATTCCGCCTAATTGTGCTGCAGCACCGAGCAACGCGTATTTTGCCGGGTCGTTTCCAATCTGTAAAACGATAAAACATTTTTCAGAAAAAAAAAAAATCTATGTACAAAGTAATATTATAATATTAAAAAATGAATTTACGAATTGTTTTCAACAGTATACGCGCTATATTTATGTCGGTTTTTTTTTTTTAATAAGCCGTCGTCTTGACATTTCAACCCTTAAATTGTATGTGTACCCTTAGGATTTATTTTTTTACGGTTCACAAAATGTACAGCGGATCGTCGAAACCTCATACCGTAGCCGTCTCGTCTGCCAGATGGACAACAATGACTAATCGGAGATTATTTTTCCACCGATTGCATCTCCATCATCATCTCTGATGATTGAATCATAACGATATTTACCGTTCACTTATTACTGCAACTGCTGCAGTAGCGTTATTCGTATTAGGGTTATCTGTAAATATGCTACGCTGTAGGCTCTTTATTTTCCTCCGCAAAAAAACATTTTTAGATTGCTTTAGTTTATTCAGATAGCTCCTCGGTTGATATTTCTGGTATATACCATTATATTATAATATACTTGCAGTCGATTTTCATTGCTCGTTTCCTTGATCATGTGTTCCACGCGTATTGGTTCCTCATTCGATATTATATGGTGGTTAGGTATTATTGAAATTTACTCGGTACCCGCGTGTTTCAATATACGAATGCTGATGCGTTCACTCGTTTGTAACCGATGTATTTTTCGTGTCACGTAATTCAATACCTACATACTGCAGTGATTTCTGCAGCATCCGTACTACGAGTATTACAATAATAATATACGAGTGAAAGATTCGCACGGGTACAGAATTCCATGAAATATTCAACTGCCGTTCAAAGTTCCGGAATTTTATCTCTTTGTTATTTATTTTTGTCGCCTTAAAACTACCAATGACGTAAGGTACCACGTCGTAGGTACCATAATATAAGTACTTTAGAATTTTAAATATGACCTGTTAACTAATATTTACAAAGATATTTAATTAGGTTTCTACACATAAGCATATTATATAGAAGATGTTTAGGATTAGGAAATTTCGTACATCACAGAGTAAGTTTTCTTAACTTATTCCCGGAGTACACGGGGCTAGTTTTTCAAGCTAGGATTGCAAGCTAGGTATTCCCAATGCCTATACTGGCTTACTATTTTAGTTTGGAATAAGCTGGAATAGTTTATACGATGATAAGAAAAATGCAATTATTGCATTACAGTTTACTACGGGGTACCTTCTAGTACAGATATCGAATTTGAGAAGTTAAAAAATTAGTTTAACAATATTTAAAAAAAGACGTCCTAGGATAACGAGAACGGGTGCAGCCACTGTCAAAGATAATTTAATGTATACCTATTAGTAACGATAAACCATTGCTTACGAAAAAATGATTCTGAGCGGAATTCAGTTAACAGTGATACTTTGTTAACAATAAATGTGTCATTTCATAGTAAAATAATTAAATAGGCTTTATAAATTTTCTTGAATAATATTTGTTTAATGATGTACTAATTTTCCTAGTTTCCTACGTTGTACCCGGTTTTCCCATGTTTCATCCCGGTTTTTCACATTTTCTGGGGAAAATTCTGGAAAAATCAAAATTAACCTCTCTAAAATACTTCCCTATTGAATTTTCCTTTCAGAAACATTGCTATTATTAAAAATTAGAGCAAAATTGCTAGTTGAAAATTTGTGCACAGAAAAAAATATGGCCGTAATACATTTTAACTAATACCAACATTTCTTTATTTTCCCGTTTTTTTTTTAAGTTTTCAAATTGTATAAAAAAACTTTTGAGAAAATCAAAAAATAACATCTCTTTAAAGTATTTCTCTAGTGAAATTTCCTTTTAGAAACATTTCTATCATTAAAAGTTGGAGCGAAATTGCTGGTTGAAAGTAGTAACGTTTGTAAAATCATAATCTTCTTCGCTCTATTCAGAATCTAAAAAATTCAAAAGTGTTGCTAAAAACACGTATATGGACAAAACCATAGGTTAATAGACATCATCAATTAATTTCGTCATTTTGCCGTACACAAGAAAATAGAATACCTTGCTGGGATAGTAAATTCAGTGGTAGAGGATGTAACTAGCTCAAAAATATAGAACGCAATCCTATTTAACTAGCTTGGCTTAGTATTTTTGGGTAATCATTTTTTGATTTTCGAAGCAGTTTTCATATTATGTGGGAAAAACCAAAATAAAAAATTTAAAAAAAAAAACGGGATAATTACGAAAATAATAATTATTATTTTATTATTTTTCGATTTTGTTATTCGTTGTGATCAGTTAAAAATATTCATTTATACTTTAAATGTAGACAGAGAACTTATATTTGCCTTTTCTAGATATGGTAAAATATTCAAAAAATTTAAGCCATTTTTGAGTTATTTATAGACATTTTAATTTTGCGAATTTTGTATGTAATTTTTATTCGGTAAATACTCTGTGGTAAAATTGTTAGACTTAATATTAATGCTTGAAAATCTAATAGAAAGTTTATTAAGAGTCTTCCTTTGTGGTTAAAATAAGAAAATTTGAGTTGATTGTAGTTTTCTTTTTTTTATAAAGGAATTTTAATATCAAATTTTGATGAAAATCATTGAGTATAAAATAATGTGGAACAAATATAATTTTTCAATTTTTTTTTTTTTTAACACATGTATATTGCCGATTTAAAGACGATGGTGAAGTCAGAATTTAGCGGGCAGACTAAATTTCGAAATTATAGCTTTTTGAATTTCTGATATCTTGCGGATATTATATGTTATGTTAAAAAACTAAATATTGTCTTCTCTAAAGCTTCTGAAGTCTTCTGATTGTTGTATCTTAATGGTTATATATACCTATTTACCTAGGGTGTGCGAGTTCGAACCCTTTGTCACGTCTCGACCCGTAGGGCGCCGGCTGAACTTAGTGATGACAGAAATTATGATTGTTAATTTGGAGTGTTAAGCATGATTCGACGGATGCGTTCCTATGGTGGCAAACCCGCCGACCCACAGCCAAAGCATCACTGCCGGAGCTGATTTTATTTAGTCAAATGTTACTATAAGTATTAGATCTTATTAACTAGCCTAGAGAGAAGATCATAGGAGAAATATTTGACAAATGAAATAATTAATATCAGATCAATTAATTTAGTTTGGGAGATCGTTAATTTTTTATTTATTCATGCTGAAGCATAAATTAATCGACATTAATTAATTAACAAGTTACGTTAATATGTGAAGAAAAGCCAATTGGCAAAAATACTCTATGCAAGGAAAACGGGGAAAAATAAAGATTTAACAACAGTAACGTACGCACATATGTGCATTGTACATATGAGTATATAGATATGGATACGGCAATAAATCAACTCAATCAACAAAATAAAATAATAACCGGTCATATTTAACATTGACGGATCGAGCAATGTTGAAATATTAACATTAGTTTACAATGCAATATTTTTAAAATACATATATGGGTGTATGGGAAAAGGAATGGGAATGTGTCCTTTGAGATACCTATCGGATAATTTCGTACTTTATGACTAGAGCATTGCTTAATATATATATGTTTATGTGTCGCGACGCGGTGGTAACGAGTTACGCGCGATTATTTTAATATTCAGGGGGAATTGTAAGATTTACGACCGTAGGCACTCATTTAATCTTGAGATTTCGGTGTCAACCGGTGGAGAAACCGTGCGTTTAATTTAATTTCGGAGACTCGGATCAGCATAACGCATTTTCCACGTGCGCGAATTGTACTTTTATTACAAAAAAAAAGGGGTACCGGTCATCGGCTGGATCCATATATATATATATCGTCCGAGTGGGTGGCCTAACGTAGCAACCTGACGAGTTGGGATATAATATAATTAGACACCTGTGGCGCATGCCTAACCTGTACCTATGCACGGTGACAAATGGATTCGGAGTAGTTGTATATAAAAAGTAATATTTGTTTTATTTGTATTGTCAAACGTTAAACAGCGCACAGCTTATGGCATATTAATTAAGGAGAAATAAACTATCATTTACGTTTAAACAATATACGTTTTAAAATTATTTAACTAAAGGAAAAAAAACCAAAATAACGGGAGTACCGGCCAAAGTATAAAAGAAAAATATTTATACTCGCAGTATTCATTGCACCAACCGACATTGCGCCACACAGAGGACTTTACACGAGAATTTACTATGCCGTCATGGGCTGAACGAAAGCGCAAACACAAAAAACCTTGATAGAAATTCGCTTACCAAAGACGGGTGAGAGATAAGTGTCAATGTTCTGACCAGCGCATCGACGGATGTAGAAAAACCCTTGGGACGTTATCGGTAAAATTTACTTCATTTGATTGGCCGGAGACTCTCGTTAATCGTTTTGTACAATTTTAATGCGAAACTCGTGGGAACGATTGTTCGCGAAAACCGAAGCAGATTCTAGTGAGGGACGGACATCTCTTCAGTATTACCAAACGCTGGTGGTTGTTTACTCGGCGCAGCGTGATATACCTATTTTAAAACTATCGGACGAGCGCGCGCTTTGATTTTTACGACGTATCCATTTTTGGACGTTACACCGTGTTAAAAAAAAAAAAATTGTTTTCATGTTTTGTCCCTTTTACCTAAACAAGAAAAGAACAAATGATTTCGGGTTTACCTAGAGACTCAAGCCATCGCTCGCTCGAACTATTTTAATCGCAAAATACCCCAAAAGGTGTGCAAACTTTTCTACCAAAATACTTGCTCCTGTGTATCAAATGTAGCATATTTTCTGAAAGGAAATTTTATCACTATGACATATATATTGTTGATAAAGCATGACTATCAACTGAACTACGCTCAGAATCGTTTTTCCGTTAGCAATGGTTTAACATTGCTTACAGATATACAATAAATTACCTATAACAGTGGCTGCACCCGTCCTCATTATCCTAGAACGTTTTATAATTCAGTGAAAATTATTCGTTAAAACTTGACATTTTGACAAAAAACTTATACCTTTTTTTTTTTATATAGAAAAGGTAAAATTCTCACAATTTAAATGATTTTTGAGCTATTTATAGGCATTTTATTTTTGCAAGTTTTCAATATAGTTTTTATTTGGTAGATACTATGTGGATATAATTGTATGACCAAATAGAAATGTTTGAAAATTTGACAAGAGTTTCATTATAAGTTTTACTCAGTGGTAAAAAAAAATGGTAGAGTGTAATGTAATATTTTAAATCCTTCGCGTGGCGAAGGATCTTTTAGTTTTACTATGATGTGTGCGCGTGTGAGTGTGTGTTTTTTTTCTATCTGTAAACAACTTTTCGAAAAGAAATCTTGTTCCGATGTACATAGCAGTGCTTTTTCTAAAAGGAAATTTTGTCTTGTTGGTGCAAAGAGATTATTTAAAAAAATAAAAAACAAGTCACCTTTTTGTTTCATTTTTAATCTAGTTAATAAAAGTTTTTTGATTTTAAAAAGTGTTTTCTAAATAATTGGAAAAAACCTGAAATAAAATTATAGGTAAAACGACAAATATTTACGGCAAATTACGGCGTTACAGATTTCATTGTTTTTAATTTTTGCTACTTATATTTTTTATCAGAAATATTGCTCCAATAGAAAAATGATACGAGATCAATTTTGTTCCTTTTAAAATATCATAGTCACTGATAGAGAAGGTTATTTGTTGATATTTAAGTTTTCTGTATAATAATTGGAAAAACCCAAAAAGACGAAAAATAGGATTTTTTCAAATTATGGCATAACAATTTCATTATTCTGAATTTGTACGGCTTATGTTTCTCACCATAAATATTGGTTCAATAAAAAAATTACAAGAGGCCTATTTTGTTGAATTTTTTATCTTATTTGTAGATCACTTTCCACTTTATAAATTGAAGAAAACAGAGAAATACGTAAAAAGAACAGGACAATTTAAAAAAATAATTCTTTTATTTACATTTTGTAGACGTGAAATAATGTTCAAAACATTTAAGCTATTTTTGAGCTATTTATAAACATTTTAATTTTGCGTGTTTTCTGACGTTATTTGTATTTATACTTTTAGATAACATTTTTAGACTAAACAAAAATTTTTAAACATTATACAGATAGTTATTATGAGTCATACATTTTAGTCAACAACAAAAAAATTCAGTGTAATGTAGTTTTTTTTATAATAGTTTTAAAATCAAATTTTGACGAATATTATAAATTGTTTAGCCTTTCAAAACATATATAACCAAACTTCGCTCCGAATTGTTTTCGTTAACAATGGTTTATCGTTGGTTACGCGTATGAATTAAATAACTTGATGTATTCCACCTTTCCAGCCAACTACCTACAACAGTGGCTGCACCCGTCCCCAGTATCAACTATTTTTTTAAAATGATGTTAAGATCAAATTTTGAAGAATATCGTAAATATTAAGGCTTTTCAAATCATTTATTAACGAACTTGGTTCGGAAACATTTTTCGTTAGTAATATGGATTATCATTGTTTAATAGAGATATAAATTAAATAACTTTATGTATCTTAACTACCCAACTTTCCACCTAAAACAGTGGCAGACCCATTAACAGTATCATTTATTTTTTATTTCTCTCAAATATTAATATTTGAGTTGACAAAGACTATAGTAGTTATAACATAAAAATTAATTTAATTTATCTTTCATAATTAATATTTTTAATTGGTGTGTGAGATAGCTCACGTCAATGAATTGTAACTATATTTTTCAAAATGTAATGTAAAATTAGTTAAATATCTTTGGTCGAATATATATTATACACACATGTTGAGGTGCACAGAGTTAGGTTATATGATAAATAATAAATCATAAAACAGTAGTTAGAGGATTAAGTGGCGTCATGCTTCGATTGGACGTATTTGGGATGCTGACGAAATGACATTTAACACTTCAAAAGGTAATAAACTAGAATAGATAGTTTATAATAGCGAGTGCGAAGGATCATCAAAAAGGATATTATAAGTTTAATGTTTATAACATAACTTTTTAGTCGTAAAGAATGCTACTAGTAGTAAAAGGAAAAATATTATGTGATAATTTGAGCGCACGAAATGGAAGTATAATATGATTGTCTGAAATACTCTCAGGTGACTAAGTCAGTGTCTAACTCATATAGATGTAATGAAATGAAACCTAGGTCGAAGATATAAATCTGCAGTGCTTGGAGAATAGTTTAGCGAAACTGTAAACAATTTTATTAATCAAATACATCGTGATGTAGCTGTACAGCGAATGTGTGGAAAATCAGAAACAGAATTTTGAAATGTTTAAGAAATTGTATTTTATTCTAAACTAGAGAAATAATAATTATATGTCTTTCATAGATTTATAATGAATTTATTGAGCGCCTATAATTATAGGTAAAATAATTTTATCTTTAAATAAATATTTGAAACCTTAAAATATATTCAAAATTGATAGAATAAAAACAAACTAATAAATTCTCTATATAATGTCGAAAACATATTAATATTAAAAAATAATTATTGACAATATATATTTATGGTTTTAATATGAATATTTATCATATTTCATGTAAGTTAAAAAATATTTTCTTCAAAAACAATTAAATAAACACAAATTTTATTTGAAATTCTTTAGGAACGAAAATGTCATCTTCTACACCCCCATCTAAAACATTTAAAATCGATAAGTTTACGATTGTAAACAAAAATATTTTGTACCTGTAGGTACCCAACAACATGATGAAAACTACGAAAAGCGAACTCATCTATGTAGTATTCCACTCTGTCGAGTTAATGGCCACCAACTGTAAGCGGAGCTCCGATTACAAAAGCGGATTTTCCAAAGATTAAATAATCCAAATAATAAATTACTTTCAGTAGATGTGAAAAACTTTCAATATTATTATAAATAAAAGCTAATTTCATCAATTAGCTGCAGTAGTTTATTGTATATTTTCCTGGGGTTTTTTGTTTTTACCCATATTCCATCTTATTGATTTAAAGATTTGTTTCTTAAATATTTTCGCTTAGTAAAAACAGAAATTATATTTAAATAACCGAACAATATTAAACGATTAAAATACATTTTTTCAAACGCAACGAAAATAAATTTAATAATTACATTTAAATATCATAGTTGATTTGATCAGCTAGTGTATTTACACATATATTAGAGAATATTGATTCTGAACATTTTTTAACGGGTATGTCGTTTGCACGTTTAAGTTTGGATTTGTATTTGGATATTTAGAGAATAATTCCCGAAGCAAGTATTTATACATACATTATTTATGAATAAAAAACTTTTTCCAGAAACGAAAAAAATAATATAAATTTATAAAACTATTTTAATTTAAACTTAAATAATTTCCTTTATGCGCTCTATATATATAGGATGTTTAAAGAACACGTATACCATTTTAAAAACGGTGAAATTAACGTAAACACTATCACCTCACTCAGTCTAAGACGTACAATGCATTTGCTAGTTTGATACCTGACAAGATTTAAAATACAGATATTATGAATGTTTATGACTTTTTAGACTGCAATTGTAATATACTAGCTATCCCACACGGCTTTTCCTGTACACAGTATTGATTGGCAATAAATTTAAAAAAATGATATCGTGTCTCTCGGTGACGCACCTTTACAACTCCCAGTCTATCGTATTGGACCATAGTTGCAATATTTTTTCTATGCCCGTAACATCTTTATATTTAATTTTTTTAGTTCACAATTTTTTAAATAAAAATATAAAATAATAACTACTATGTTTAATTATTTATTTAAAAAAAATTATATTTAAGTTTGATACAACTATAGGGTACATAACACTTTTCGTAATTGATTTTTTATTTGGATTCAATAAAAGTTGATTTTTTAAGTTCCCTGATTTTGAAAAACGTACGTACAGCTGACCATATAAAAAACAGTTGGATCGCGAATCAATTCCTACACTTTTTGTCCCTCCGATTTATTAATTGCCATTGCATAAGAGAGCTTATCTAGGAATTGAAAATGTTTATAGTGGAATGACAAGTTTATAGGAATCATAAGAAAACCAAGATATCATCCCCATAGATCTATAATGATAACGGCCTCAATAATATTGTCCCCTACGTATTTATTTTATTTGCAATCTCCATACGACAATCAAATGACTTCACACAATCGTCGACCTTCTCAGAAGAATCGCTCATTTTTAAATCATTTTTCGTGTCCTACCAAGGTGTATATTTTACAAAAAAACTAGTTATTAATTTATTAAATTTTATCAATTTTAAAACGCTAAAAATAAAAAATAAAAATTCGATCACCATTAAAATTATCGTCCCATTTTGTATACACATTCATGCAGTATTCATTAAAACAGTCTTGGATTATTCAAAAAAGTCATTTTTTTAAATTGTTGTCACTTATATTACTGTTTTATTTAAAAAAAAAAAAATAATAAAAACTAATGAAAATCAATGAAAATAAATCATAAGTTCATGAACATAATATAAAAGGTATAGGAAAATAAAAACTGATATTGGACTGGTGCAGCCACTGTTGTGGGTTGGAAGTTGGGAAGGTAGTATATATAAAGTTAATTAATTTATATCTGCACGCAAAGATGAGTATAAGCTAACGAAAAACGATTTGGATCAAAGTTTGGTATGACACATTTCGAAATGCCGTAATTTTTACAATGTTTGTCAAGTTTGATCTTAATACGCTTATGAAAAACAACAAAATAATGTTACATTACCTATTTATTTATTTATTTATTTTATAACTTTCGCCCACAACATAAATATATTTACAGGAGATTCAATTAAATGCATTAAACTCAAATTCGTTTTTTAGACTACTAAGTACAACTTATAATGTACTATAGTCGACCGCCAACGTATATACAGTGCGGAATGTTAATTTCCAATGCTTTTAAATAGTGATTGAATTATTATTTGTTATTTTTGGCACTTAAAAATATTAAAATTGAAAAACTGATTTCTCTATTAACATCGTGGGTATGTAAGGTATCTGTAGGAAAAAAAATGTAGAAAATAGGTCCAGTAGTTTTTAAGTTTATACTGAACAACGAAAAACGTGCATTCTCTTTATACATCTAAATAGTAAGATTATACTTATGGAAATTATAATTTATTTTACTTAGGTAACTACATAATTTTAATAAATATTTTATGAAATTAACAAACGTTAATTATTTATCTATCCTATTCGTACATACCTAATAATAAACCATATGGTACCATATGGTAATAAACCATACATGGTTATACATGCTTTGAAAGGCTGTAATATTTACGATTTAAAAATAATACATTATTGTAAATTTTTTCTAGTTTTTCCCATGGTTTTTCTCAGTTTTTCCAATTTTTTTTATGAAAAATCAAAAAATAACCTCCTTAGAATACCACCTCATCAGATTTCTTTTTAGAAAAAGTGGGAAAACTTGAAAATTGCTGATAAAAAAGTTGTTTACAGATTAAAAAAAAAAAAAATAATAAAAAATAATTATCATTGTAAAACCAATACATTTCTCACTCCGCTCAGAATCTAAAACCGTGTATATTATAAAAGAGACAAAAAAAAAATAAAAATACTTACGAGATCAGGAACATAATAATGAATAATTATGCTGGCGACGCGTCCCCATGCGGCTCCGATCAATAACGAAGGTAAAAATAATCCAGCTGACAAATTAAGACCGACGGTCAACTCGGTTAGTATGAAATAAATGACACAGTAAACCAGTAATGGAACGATTGAAAATGCGTCTGCGAACACAAGTAAGAAAATAAATTAAACAATCTACTTACGCAGTTATTTTAAAAACCTGTAATATAAAAAAAAAATGAATAATAAATACATAATTTATAGAAAGGTCGGTATATATGTATACAAGCAAAAGGGATAGGTGAAAGGCTGAGATAGGGGAAAACCATTAAACTTATTTAAAAATTGAAAGAAAAAAATAACTGCAGCATGTACCTAAACTGTAATTCAATAAAGTCTGTGATATTGTTCACAGGTATTTTAAATTCGAACGAGGTATTATTTCGTAAGTTATATACCTATAACTTATATTTTAGTTGACACTATATTAAAATATATATATTTGTTCTTCTTGCTCGATAATAAATTATTATAAATAATTCTCATCGTATTTTCTCTCGTGCTTTTGTATCTTATTATTATATTATAATTATTTTTTTTTTTTGTTTTATTACCCACACTCACCTAATTTTCTTTTATGTTCTAGCATCTGTATTATTTTTCTTTGATAAATTTATTTTTTTTTTTCAGATGAATATATAATATAGGTGATTTAAACAAATATCTTTATAGGTATATAGCTAACACAAAAACTAGTTTTCATAGAAATTATCGAATCATGTACATACTATTTTTTTTTAACCTTATTGGAACTTGGTACATTTTTTAGGCATGAACTACGAATACTATATAACATGTTAAAGTTATCGGTTTTTAAACATTAATATAATTACCGAGCGGATAATGGAATAACGATCGAATATTTTCTTCTTGTGTATGAAGCCAAAACGAACCGATTTCATTATAACTCCCTGCCGGACAATTCATCTGCAACAAACCTATCATAAAGGTAAAAGCCGTTTTCATAATAACCACATCCCATAAAACTCTGAAAATGTTCGTAATATAATACTTTTCTAAAATTCTAAAATAATTACTTGTAATTCGTCGTTCGATATTCAGATATTAATTTATAGTAATTAATTATAGAGATTAAATCCTCTTGGGCGATGGTATGAAAATAAGTAGGTCGGGTGTTGATGATGTTTTCAAACTCGAGACTTTTGATATAACTCCTTACCGTCTAAGAGGATCTAATCAATTAATTACTAAAATAATATGATTACAAAGTCTAACTGAATTCCGAAAAAAATACAAATAAATATAGGTAACAATTAAGTACTCACTGAAATTTTCAATAAAAACTTTATTTTGAGATTTTTTTAGATTCTGAGTGGAGCGAGGAATGTATTGGTTTTACAATGAAATTTATTTTTTTATTTATTTTTATGTGAACACTTTTTCTACCAGAAAGCATACTTCGATTATCAAGTAAAGTATAGCACTTTCTCTGAAAGGAAATATTTTCCGGGTCATACTTTAGAGAGGTCGTTTTTTAAAATTCTCATTAATATTCGAGATAATGAGGAAAACCTGGTTCGTTGGGTTAAAAATGATTGAAAGATTAAAGATAAGGTTGTCATTGACAACCGTTTTTATTTATTTTCTGTTATTATTAAGTTTTTATTATTGTAAAATGTTTTTCATACAATCATTGTTTTCATAAAAATGCACATTGTTGTAATCATTTTACGATAATATGACATATATATTATCAGCAAAACAATACTATCAACTGAACTCCGGTCAAAATCGTTTTATCGTTAGCAATGGTTTATCGTTGCTTACAGATATACATTAAATTCCCGTCTATACTTACCATTCCAAATTTCCACCTAAAAAAGTAGCTAAACCCCGGGGCGAATTATGTCAGTCTTTTTTTTTATGTATATACATTTTAGTTTATTGCATGTATATACTGTACATATCTAATACTACAAGATTACGTATCATTGTTAGTGATCATCATTATAATATAATATGTCATATATATATATATATGATAATAATATATTTTAGTATAGGTAATATACTGTATTACTTACTTGTATTAGATTGGGTGAACTTATCTTGAGTTGACAATAATTCAACAACAGCATAGACGTTATACTAATTATTGCGACAAACATTGCGACGCACACGGCTTCAAGAAGTTTTTTTCTATTTGATAGAAGGTGTCTGTAAAAAATAAATTAAATTAAATAACTATAGGATTTATTTATTTTTAATTTTTTTCATGATTCATTAAAAATAAAACTAACTTCATCCGGAGGACCGACAAACGATAGTTGATTTCGACAAATATAGCCCCAAGACCGCCGCCGACTATACCGAATATAATGAAAATCGGAAATTCCGAATAAGAAAAATAAATCGTGGTTTCGTTAAACTTTCCAAAGAAATACAAACTTTCGATATAAGCGGATTCCGATCCATCTGCAATAATAACAGTATACAAATGATACATTATTGGGTTCCTCTCATTATGCATTTAAATAAATCGATTAGCATATTATAATTTTATAATTATAAAAAAAAAAAACTAACTTATATGACTTGCATTCAATATGGTTTTCCCGGCATTGTATGTCGGGAAAGCTATAGCAGCACAAAAAAATACTTTCCACATTAGGCTCGAACTCCAGAAACTCGTCCCTTCTTCGAGGCTCATTAACGTACCACCTGAAATATAATAAATATAGCTTATAAAATAATATCTATTTTCAAATACGAGTACTAACCACAAGATTAATAAAATATATAATGAACGAATACAAATATATATATATATATACACTTCTTAAATGAACATTTCATAAGAACTTATGATGAAAAAATTACAGACTTTGCCTGTGGTTTACAGTACACAGTATATTAAAAAATAAATTAAAACCCGTCTTCCCGTGGCTTTCTAAATTGGTTAAATCATTTTTAAGATTAGTTCAAACATCCAAAATATACGTCCTGTCTTTATATTATAAAATATTGTGTAAGCAGTGTTGGACATTATTTAAATACATAATTAATTATCTTTTATCTTATCTTGATAATAAACTAAATTAGCTATCTAATGAACTATGTTAGATGAATAATTAATTTATCCAATGTAGTTCATCTAGATAAATAAATATATTTATCTATGCAAAAAATACAAAAAATTGAACATGAAAGTTAAAAACCCATGTCTCATTAGTAAACCATCCTTGTACAAATACAGAACAAAATTAAAAACATCAAGTAATAGTTACCTAATAATATTATTTGGGTCGCTTATTTATATTTTTTAAGTAGAAATTGACAAAAAAAATTAATTACTAAAATTAAAACAATTTTTATCTTTTTTTTATCCAGATAAATAGTGAGTTTTTTTTTATCTTTATCTAGATAATTTAAATTTTAACTATCGTTTATCTCTATCTAGATAAATTGTATCTGATTACCTTTTATTTTTATCTAGATAAATTTTTAGTTATCTTTCCGCAACACTGTGTGTAAGTCATAAGAGCTATCATATTATAGTTAGGAATAGATCTGAATAAAATGAAAACAATGACACTGTAAGTACGAGTATAATAATAATAATATACATATATGACCATATATACGCATTTTTAATTAGAAACCTAATGCTTTGATATAACTGAAATGATGACGTATATATTTTAGTATTTACCAACGGGAGCTCCAAAAGCGGCTGATAATCCCGCAGCAGCACCTGCTGCCATCATGTCTCTCCTTTCTCGGTCGTTTTGTAACGGTCCGATGACTTTTTTACCGCGACTGTTTCTAAAGCCTTTCCACCAAGCTTCCACGACTGAACCGCCAACCATTGCTCCAATGTGAATCAACGGCCCTTCCTTAAAATTATATTAAAATGTTTTTTGTATTGTACAGTATACAGTATACACATATCACATTAGTTATATGAGTTTTTCTCTTCTTTTGATTTTAATAACTAAAATTCTAATAATGTGTATCAATATATTAATAAATTCCTTTATGAATACAGCAGTATTTTGTTAAGTTTATATATTACGAGTAGAACGTTACAATAATTCTAAAAACAAATCAAAGTGAAAATTAAAAGAAAGTTAAATACAAATTTATAAAGAATACATAATATCTTTGGTATTTTTTTTTCCACGTACATTTTCTGAACGAAGTGAGGAATGTATTGGTTTTACAATGGTTTTTATATATATTTTTTTTATTTATAAACAATTTCTCTATCAAAAATCTTGCTCGATTTTCAAGTATAGTACCTTTTCTGAAAGAACATTTTATCCGGGTGGTACTTTAATGAAGTGATTTTTTTTTTTTTAATTTTTCAAGCGATGTTCATAATAATTTAGAAAAAAAACAGGATGAAACATAGGAAAAACGGGAAAATGTACGGAAATAATAGTTTTATTATTTTACATTTTTTTTTTTCTTTATAGGTAATTTAGTAAAACATATTCGTTGAAACTTGTATTTGCCTTTTATATAAGAGATACAATTTGCAAAACATTTGACCAATTTTCTAACTCTTTATAGACAATTTAATTTTGCAAATTTTTTAAGTATTTTTTTGTTCGGTAGGTACTCTGTAGATTACCTTCCCGACTTCTTTTTTACAACAGAGGCCTACCCATCATGCAAAGTATTTCATATATAAAATCAACTATTTTAGTTTTAATTAGTTAAAAGTGAACCTCTGTAAATACTAATATACGTCAGAATCTAATTTTGTAATTAATCACATGCAATTTCCAAAAGTTAATTTGTCTTTATTGAAAACTTTACAAAATTGACTGAAGTACTTCTACACTGAAACCAAAGATATAAACATACCCATTTATAATATGTCAGTAGTACTGAATAGACAACAATAGACTACAATAGACATTTAGTATAAATTTGTACATTTATCTTGAAAATATAATATCATTTTTAGTTATCAATGCGAATAAGTTAGCCGAGTAAAAAAAAAAATTTTAAATATTATACCACTTACCTTTCCTCCTCCGAGACCAGCTACAGAGACGCACACCACACTCACGACTTTCACAAATAAACATCGAACTGCTGTCATTCTCGGTATACGAATTCCATTCAAATACGATATGACAAACGGAATACCGCTTCCGGCGGCGGATGGCTAAAATAAATAGTATCAAATATTACTTTTTTTAATACAAGTAGTCAATAATGTCAATAATTGATTATCATATCATATATCGTATATTATATACGGGTAGAATTAAATTGTATAAGTAAAATTTTTTTTTGTCAATATTTTTGTTTGTTAAATTTAATAATTCTTTTTTCAGATAAAATTGAAACCGGTATTAATATGGTTTACTTTTTTTTTTAATAATAGTTTTTGTATTTGATCAAAGATAAATATTTACCCAATCACTAAAAAAAAGTAGGTTTAGTGATTTAGAAAGATTTATATATATATATATATATATACGTAGTATATTTTGTGTTTCTATTTAGATGTGTGCGTACAATATCTATATAAATACTTAGAAACATACTTTCTATAGACAATTTTTGAAACTATAATAATATTAATAATACATACGTGTGTAGAATGCTGATAATAATATAACACTATCTAACTATTTAATGATTATTTTACCATTATCATATTGCAGTATAATTTGTAATTAAAACGATTGCAATATTACTGATTGCTTTGCAGTTGCGACTATGATGGTATATTGTATTATTGTAATGTAAAATCATATTGTGTACATAACAAATATTAATATATCTATGGACTGCGCTTCCTCCATGCTGCGCCTCAGTAAATCAACATTTTAAAAAAGAGATAGGGTCAATATCTGGACTGTACGCAGTATACGCTATATTTTTCTACCAATTATTCAAAATCTCTATTTCTCTCTCTCTCTCTCCCTCTAGGTATAGAACATAAGGTGACATTCCCCGAGTTATTTAAATATCTATAATTATTTTAAACCTTCGTGATTAACTATATCTCTATGGGTCAATTTGATTCTTTTCAACCAATTCCTCATGGGTAATCTAGATCTTCGATAAAGCTATTAAAAACAGAGTAAAAAGACGATTTTGACTTGGCATGGTTATGTACTTAAGCTGCAATGTATACCAAATATATATATATATATATATATATATATATATGATATTTATATACCAAATATATTCATACTTACAAAATTTACTTGTAACTTATTATAAATATAGTGTATTATACTTCAATATATTTTGTAAACCCATTTATGTATGAACTAATTAAATCAAATTGTTTTATTGTTCACCAAAAGTATACCAGTAAAAAAAAGTATTAAAATAAAAATATTGAACACAAAAAAAGTTATTAAATTTGTTATTTCTTCGTGAGACAGCCTGGATATTATAGTCTTGTACATAGTTGTGTTATTTTTAGGTAAATTGATAAAATGAGAAATAAGTTACTTAAGATAAATAATTGAATCACCTAGATAAGTTATTTTAAATCGTAATTGATATATTTATTAAAGTAGGTAAAATATTTACTTTATAATAATATGGTTTAATAAATTGATTATTAAATTACATCAATCACACGATCTTATTGAAATATTTAAATATTCACCAAATCTGGTTCACTTGTACTTTTAGCATTTATAATATATAGTATAATATGTATATTACTTAGTTGTATGATAAGTAATGAACATTAATATTCTTTTTTTTGTCCGGATAAAAAGTTGCCAATTGTTTATCTTTATCTAGATAATTAAATTATTATGCATCTTTTATATTCAACTAGAAAATTATTTCTTATATTTATTTAGATATCTTAAAATAAAGTTTAATACAGCACTGCTTTTATGTTAAACCTATCAATGTTAACCCCCGGACTTCCCTCTCTCTCTATGTTACCAATCTATTTTTATTAAGGTGACCTATCATATTATATTATAATAATGCAAACTGAAATATACTGAATATTATACATAAATACAAAATGTTTATATTATTATATTTTGAATTGTTTTAACCTCCATAAATAGTACTACGCAACATCCGACGATCGTAGGAAGGACGGTGAAAAGTAGCCAAATCATCAGACACTGCCATGTCGAATGATTAACGTCGATATAATTCCGGATCGATTGATATTTCCAGTTGCACAGATATTCGATAACGGTATCGATACAAATTCCCACTGTGGCCGTACATATGGCGATCGAGAAATAAATGAGCCATCTGATCACGTTGCTGGCCACTATTGTTTTATACCCGTTTAATTTTTCCTCTCTGACGGTTAGTTCGCTTTCGTAATTTTCATAATCTAAACTCTACAAAAACGTCAAAACGTAAGAAAAAAAAATGCACTTATATAAAAAAATTAAAAAAAATCTCACTTCATAATCTGACGATACGTAATTTATCGAATGAGCTCTCGGTTTTACTACAGAGTCCATCGCTAATATATCACTAGAAGTAGACCGACATGATCCCTGTGAAAAAAAATAATACAAATATAGAGACGTAAATATTATAAAGACATTTAGGTGGCTAAGTCATAATAATATTACTATAAAAAATCTGTCCTAGGATACTGGAAAGGGTGCAGTTACTGTTATAGATAATTTAATGTATATCGATAAACAGTGATTAACTATTTGCTAACGAAAATACGATTCTGAGGAGAGTTCGATTGATAGAGTTACTTTGTCAACAATATATATTATGGTAAAATAAATACATAAGTATGCATTATATATTTTCTTTAATAACATTTGCTTAATATATTGTTTCTACTATCCCGTTTTTCCTACATTTTCCCTGTATTTTTCCCAGTCAGATTTTTTTTCAGAAAAAGTGCTACCCTTGTAAATTGGAGCAAGATTTTTCGTAGAAAAGTTGTTCACAGATAAAAAAAAAAAAAACATCATTGTAAAACCAATACATTCTTTGCTTAGAATCTAAACATTATTTTAGTATAACTCAAGGAAATGTATATACACATATTATATAATATAAAATCAATATATTTTGACTGCAGCTCTTTAGATATTATAGGATTTTGTGGAAGGCAATTTTTTAATACACAAAAATTGTAATAAAAGATAGGTATATTTATTTTGTATAGGTAGAGTATATTATGTTTGTTTAGACTGTTTAAAGCGACAATATAAAAATGTCGTAATAAAACAATTTAAACGCTCAGCGCATCAATGCCAAATGTCGACCTCTGCAGCCTCGGCCGGGCATTCATCCAGTTGGCGTGAACAAAAAAAAAAATATATATATATAGATGTATACATTTACTGTTATATTTTTTTTTATTATTATTATTACTATTTGGCTTTTGGTGTTATAAAAACTCGATATTATGCTGCGATGACTGAGCTCGTTTTGACCGCGTATAAATTATTAAACAGATTAATATTATATTCTAAGATTATATAGATATAGCGTACAGTAACAAAGTTATTATTTATTAGTTTATGAATAGTTTTTTTTTAACGATGTATTTAACTTAAATTATAAAAAAAAAAAATCGTATCCTTACAAAACATGATGTATAGATATATCAAGCCTGATCAGGTCATGTTGGACTAGGCCACCGGGAAATCTCAAGGTAGGCTATGATAAAAATGAGTTAAGCAAATCTAGTAAGATCAGGTGAGGTAAATAAAAAACCGAAATAATTGATTAACAAGTCTAATACAACACAAGATATAATTTAGTTACTGTTTTAAACTGCAAATAGTGCTTGAGGACCGAGAGGTTAGAAATAAGATTTCAGAGACCTTAAATAAGCCATCAGGTTATTTAGAGGCCCGTAATATGCTATTAAAGGTTGCATACGTTGGATGTAGGCTACCGGTTAGCCGTAATGAACCATTAGTGAAGACGATTTTAAGGGAAAGTATTGGTAAGCTTATTACTATAAGTGGAACCGGGACAGCTTCGTATCTTTTGGGACTGGTAGGGTAAATACTTCTAGACTTCCTTATATTATAATTACTAAATGTTTTATTTATATGGTAGTCCAACCTTGTATAGTATCATAACACAGATAATAATTTACAAAAAAATGTACGTACCCTACATAGGTTAACAACTGTAATAATTTTTCAAAATAATATTAAAAACCTTTTTTTAAGTGATTAAATTAGGTTTGTCAAAATAATAATATATAGGTACCTAATCTATACAATTTAGCCATGCTCGTATATAAAAATGTTCAATAAATACCTCGTCATTATTACCGTGATTCATACATCCGACTCCGGTACTCGTGAATGTCGACTTGGGCCAATGATAATTTAGAATATGAGTCGCAAATTCAAAGTTATTAATCGATTTATGATGCTAAAAATGAAATAATATTAGGTAAATAATATATTTGTTAGGTATCGATTGACAAGACGTTAATAATTTAGAAACGCACCATTTTATTCGAGGAAAAAATTGAAATAATAAAAAAATATTAACAACGCATAGATTTTTTTTCCAAAACGATGTTGGAAGATAGGTGCATGAACTTTTTAATCATTCGTGTAGACAATTATTATTATTGTTAGCTGCAATGCAAAACAGCGACTGTCGGTATTGGCACTAAAATTAAATATATCACACGGCAACTACACAACTACCAATGGATATTTTTTTCGTCGACTTAATAAACTTTAACATTTCGTCACAACGGTAATCATCGGTTTTTGTTCTATGTACCTATATATTATAGTATTATTATCGGCAAATATAGGTATTGTTTTAATACTGTAATTTTACCGCGATTAAAATATACGTGTATGATTTAAAACGTTTTTATAACTTTATAAATAATTTTCGTTTTTTTTTTTTTTTTATTATAACTAAACTATTATTAGTTAAAGAGATGTAGATTTGATATTTTACGCAACTTAATTGAACATATAGATGTAGTGTAATATTATATTAAGTTGTTTTTACAATAGTAGTATACATTTTGTGGCGTAACGTATTATAGGTAACAAAGAATTCGATTGCAGATAGTGACGTAGGCTCCCAAACGTATATTCCTAGTCCTAATATACTCTGAGCTTCGTTTTATCTTAAATGTATGCCTTACATGCATTTTCAAAATCACCCACCCCTTGGTTTTCTTGTACTGAATCCACCCCTGAATGCAGAGTTACATCCCAGATATTATATTCGTAATAAAAATTCTGTTCGGTTGAGATTGATGAATATCGAATTAAAATCAAATACATATATTATTTATAATAATGATATTAACTTAAAATTAAATAAATTGTTCTTTCAATTATTTGTATTTGCTTATATTTAATATAATATAGGTATCGCCTTTGCAGTTCACTAATGTATATAATTTTAGTAATAAACTTTGTTTGTATGATTATAATGTAGCAATTATTATTATTATAAAAAAATCAACAAAAATTATATAAGTATACAGTATAAGGCAATAAAATTCAAGTTATACTATGGTATTGACTAACACCTTTAAAAATCAATTATAGGTAATTATAATTAAGAAATAATTCAGTGGTTAAAGTGTGGGAAAATCTTCAAAGCATGACTACCTTATATTAAACAAAAATTAAGGGACGTTACCGAGAACTAACTAAACTCAATCAAACTTTCAGGAAACCCATCATGGAGATAAGACTTTCAAAATGTTTTTCTCCTATAAAACATTTTTTCATAAACATATTATGCTAATGTGTTTTAAAAATAATACAAAGTAAAACTGAGCCTGATTATAAACAATCCAATAGATATTAAAGAATTTATTTTTTATGAAACTAATTCGAGTTTTTACAATGTCATTTAAAACACCTCGGCGACAAAAAATGTAGCATAAACCCGGACTTCGAAGACTTTGACTGAAAGGTACGGACAATTTTACCTTTTATAGGAAGGATGATTACTTCAAACACTAATAATATACTTAAAATATGATTAACATGACAATATACTTAGTGATATACTTAAAACATTTCGCAGAAAGTTATGCTATAATTTTATGAACTAAAAAACCGACTGAGTTGTTTATAAATTATAATCATCAATATTATAATTTATATTATTTGATAAATTAATAAAACAGAGAAAAATAGTTTTTAAATATATAATTTTAGATTCTGAGTCAAATCCATTAGTTCGATATAAATTAAGTATACAAAAAAGTGTTTTTACGAAAAATATTTTACGGTTATAATAATAAAATATGTTTTAAATGATATCTGGAACCTTTGTACATACAGACGCTCGTTTATAAATCCCAACAATGTAAACGTTAAAATTGCGGAACTATTTTTCGAATGTTAATTTTTAAAAATAACACTGGCTTCCAAGGCATATCACTAAAAACTGTGGTTCGCCGGAGATGGAGGTGCGTACAATTTTTCTATTTGTTTTTTTTTTTTTTTTTTTTTAAAATTACTGTTTTCGAAAAACACATACTTATTATTTCATATTATATAGGTACTTTGAAAGCGAAAACTCTAATGTCACGGTGGTACGTAAAAAAAAAAAAAAAAAAAAAATAATAATAATAATAAAATAAAGTAAGTACACAAAAAGAAAATGTCTACATATAATGTATACGTTCTTGAATCGTATTCCCGTATAAAATTCAAACGAAAAAAGAACAATTCAGTATTGGTAAAATAAGATACACCGAACGTAACAATATCGTTCGATTTTGACTCGGCGCAGAAAAAAAAAACAATAATAATAATAATAAAATATACCCGAGTGCGGTAATAGTCGCCGTCGGTTATTTATTGCGCGGCAAATCCTCCTCATCCGACGAGAGCAGGTACCTATATTGTATTTATACAGGGTGATTTATTTATTTATTAACTACACGGATTTTTATATTATAAATTATATCTTATAACTATATATTATACTTATATTCAATCATTGTAGATAATAATCTTATTTACAATATTTTCAAAATTTGACCATTATTCTGCATATTGTAAACAGGTCGTAATATCAACTTTTGATTTTCCAATGGTAACTCCGCCCTGTAAAAAATATTTTCTATTCAAATATGTATTGAACATGGGAGGGATTATTATTTGAAAATCCAAGGTGTTTAGATATAAAGTGCAATCAATAGGAGTAAAATTTAAAAATAGCGTTAAAATAAAACTTGAACGATTCCATCATGATCAGAAAAAAGCAGCAGAAATCAAATTTAGTTAAAATCCTCTGAGAAAATCGCAGAATCGTGATAAAATAACCACTCTGTATATATATATTATAGATATACATATACAATGTATATATATATATATTATATATACATTATACACGTATCGGCTAAGTCGAAAACCAATCGGAATATCGCCCGCTCACTCGGATTCCACTACTGCACTCCCGCATCACCTTTTCCTCGGTGCAGTACTATCTCCTCGCGTGGTCGGTATACACGAGTAGGTACCTCCTATCCACTATTCCCGAAGTTATAATCCTTTCGAGATTATTTCAAAGGGTGCGGGCGGCGGCACATTCCGGAACATTATGATAAATTTATGTTCCATATAAGTACCTATACATACCTCGTATTTTTTCGTCCTGTACAACAATTGGACACCGTACACTAGCCCTTGAACGTGGGGTATAATCTGAATTTGGAAACTCCATTTTAATAAAAAGCGTTTCTAGTTCACGTCCGTTTTGTTAAAATTAAACTAATATTCCAGGCTCGTCTGTGGATTGAATAACGGAACTGATGTCTTTCCTCGTTCCCGACAAAAAAAAAAATTGTTCGTTCCTAAAATAAAAATAAATAACATTAATTTGTATATACAGGGTGATTTTGTTTATCATGAACCAGCAATTATCTTAGAGGATTTTAAATTAATTTGATTTCTGTTTGTTCTAATCATTATGGAATCGTTTAAGCTTTATTTTAAACCCATTTTTAACCTTTTACTCCTACTCCATATTCTTTAAAAAAGTACATACTTTTGATTTTCAAATAGAAACCCCCCCCCCCCGATTTTAACACATTTGAGTAGGGAATATTTTTCTAAAAATTTTAATGGACATAACACTAATATAAGATTTACCGTTTTTGAGTAATAACAGTTTGAAGTTTAGACCCGAGGAGTAGGGAAGCCGGAAGGGCAATAAATACATTTATAACCCTAAAATCTAAAATAATACGACGTTTAAACGGCGTGTTTCAAAACAGACTTTAATTAAGTACATAATTGTTTTAAAATATGTCTATTATAATAAATAGGTAATAATCGAAAATCGCTTAGTCGATTTGTTAATATTCGTGGTTTTAATTACCTGGGCTAGGTCAAATTGTCCGGGCAACGTGCACGTTACCCGTGATTCTACGTTGCCCGTAAAATATTAATATATATTAAATCAAATATTAATATGTTATCCAATTTGGGATAAACCTTTTATAAAGGAACGAGTGCCTTTCAAGCACTGATAATAATATTGTGTGTGCGGTCATCGCGTACGGCCAGCCCAGCCTGGGTTTCGTATATTCTGTGACTAACGTTATCAGGAAAAAAAAAAAAAAAAGAGGGAGAAAATATTATCGCTAAGAGCTACAGCCGAATTTTCCTTATTCGCTGTAAACGGCCTAACTAAATAAACGGAAACCGGCATTACTCTCGCACTCACGACGGGCCAACGCTATCAAAAACAATTCCGGAAGACCGGCCGTGACTACAGTAATATAGGTGTACGTACCGACCGTATGTCATTATCGTACCACGCGTATAATATTATTGCAATGGACAATGGACCGATATCGGTTTCTGACACAGACGCCTACGCGAACGAACGCAAAAATAATTCCCGCGGTAATTATAATACCGTCGCGGCGGTCTACTGTGTACGTAAACGGCCAAAGCCCCTCGGGACAAAGTACCTTAAATAGCGTACAAAGGCGAGGCGGATCGGGTCGGCGGCGGCGGTTTGTGGGAATCGAACGAGAAATAAATGCCGGTATTTCTATACAATATTATACGTATACACACGCACACACGCGCGCGCGCGCACGTATATATATGTATATGTATGTGTATCTACTTTTTTTTCTCTCTCTCTCTCGATCGCTCTTTTTTCCCCTCCGTCCGCCACAGCGGGCCGGAAATCCGTAGAGTCTCACGGTTCGCCAGAATCGCTGCGATCGGTTTTGCGACGGCGGCGGCGGCGGCGGCGATGTCCCTCGCAAACCGGCCAGGAAAGAGTGGCCGCCGTCACGCGCGCGCCAACCCTGTACGCCTACGCCGCCGCGTCGCTGCCGTTGTCCGCGGCGTCGTATCGTCGTGTCTCTCCGCACGTTGGTCCGCCGCCGCCGACGCCGCCGCCGCCGCCGCCGCCGCCGTAGCAACAACGGTTCAGTGTCGCGTCGCGTGCACCCCCGAACGGCAGCACCGCACGCAAGGCGCGGACGAAACGCATGCACGTGCGCGTCGTCGTCGTAAAATACTCGCCGAGTTACAACGAACCGCGACGGATTTTTTTCCCCCTCCCCCCCTCCCCCCTCGTTAACCGATTTGGGATCATTATAGCCGTGACCGCGTCACGTATACGACAATTGGTCTGTTCGAGTCGTCGACGATCCGCCGCTGCCGCTGCCGTCGCCGCATCCGCCTACGCCGTGCACGCAAAGTAAATTTTGCACGATTTATTTGGCCCGTTCGTAATATTATTGCGACGTCATATGTCACATTGGTGTCCCGGAGAAGAAGGGCTTGAGTCGATTATAGGTACATAAAAAAATAAGTATATACGACGAAATTACAAAAACAAAAAAAAATGTAGAAAATTGGCTTAAGCCCGTCTTACTCGGGACCAGAGAAATATGATCGCATGTTGATTATCGCACTGTAAAAATCATAAAAACACCAACCTGCAGTGATATTACGAACGTTATGGAATTTTATTCAAAATAAATATAAAATATTCGATCGTTTTTGCGATCTTTCGTTCTTTTGAACCGAACTTGGTGCGAGTAATATTTAATGAGATTCGATTAAATTTGCAATTTTTAGTTAAATTTCCGTACACCAATTAACAATTTCGTAATATCATTATAAAAAAAAAAAAACACGCATGGGTACTTCGATTTATCTGATTAAGATCGTCCGCGAGTATACAATTTCCGTTTATCCGTATTAACCGTATTATATTGTTGCTGGTGTTAATTATCGTAACACTAGAAATAGTTCAAGATGCAAATTTTAAAGACTAACGATTGTATGGTGATTATTTTATTTTGTTATAAATTACTAGGGTAGATTCATATATGTTTATTTTGGTCAGTCAAAAAAGTAGCCAGTTTATTCCCAAAAATGCGTTTCATTGCCTAACGATTCTATTTTACAATATTCTATTTTTCATGTTTTAGGATTTTGTACATATGATTTTTTATCATTCATTTTTTAGAGCATAAAAAGGGCATATGCCCGTTTTAAGGGCATATTTATATATTTTTAATGCATATCTACATTTATGTTTAAAGGTTTTTAGGACAGATATGTATATGCCCTGTAAATCATTATAACATATTTTCACGTATCATGTTCCCTTTTGATTTTATCGTCCAATTTTTTTATAACATTTTGTGTTTTTAAATTGTACAGTCGATCAATATTGTAAATTATATCTCTACGTGTATTTTCATATTTTATCCTCGAAACGTTTAAAATTATAGAAATCGTACGAGTTATTAAAATAACCGAAATTGCATATGGTATTATAAACGTTGAAAATATAATGTATCGATCGAATCGAAAGTTAGCTTTAAATAATATATAGGTACCTACGACCGGTAATAATAATTTATATAAAGTTTTGGCGGAAAATGGAAAACAAATCACACTATTTTCATCGCATGGCCGCCTCAAACAGTACAACAATTTAAACTACAGTAATACATATTATTATGTTGTAATAAATGTTTCAAATTATTATTGAAAAAATAAATCACAACGATTATGCATTTATATAGAACATTAATAATAATATTATGCTCATTTTATGACCATTGTTAAGTCACACGAGTAGGTACTATTTTGTTATTCTAAAAAATCACAACAGAGGTCGAACATCGAATAGAATTAATTTAATTCCACTACTATTATTATAATAATAATAATATAATATCAGGAAAATATTCGGTATTTTTGTATATTATACAACTCGACGTTTGATTAAATTAATTTTATAATTAATGTTTACTTACGTACAATTATTATTCCACTTATTTATTTAGTTTCTTAAATATATCTATGCGCACTATAGAGGTATAGTACAGTATATAGGAATATTTAGGTACTTATATATAGGTATAATTCAAATATTATTCTTTTTTAATACTCTTAGATAATATTATTCTCAAATACTATTCTACGACTTGGACTTTTATTTAACTCGCATAGTTTTATTCGTTCATAAGTATTCAAAAATATAATAATAATTTACAATTTACTCGTGTATTGACACTTGACAGTCTCTGTCCACTCGCGATCTTTTCGCATATCGCTGCAGTTTCGTTAGACCTGCAGTTGACGGTTTTACAGTCAATACTCGATGCACGGCGTGTCTGGTTTTTCATGTTTTTATTTCACGATGAAACTATGAAAGACATTTTTACGACAGCAGCAACAATAGAACTATCATTCAATAAGATAAATGGCAATTGAAAAAAATCGATATTATCATATAGGTATATGCATATCTTCTTGTTAAACATTACCGTGTGAGAACCTGGACGAGGAACTTCAAACCAAGCACTAATGCCGGTATCAATGATTGGACAGCTGAGAAACAAATAAAATGTCTTCGAGAGACATGGAATGTCATGTGTAGTAGTTCATGGTGCCATTAATGTAACATCACTCTGTAAATCAGAAAATCCAAAGTCTTCTTTATAAAAAAACTGAAAAGCAAGGACTAAATCGTAAAACGAATTCGTGTCATAATTCTATGTGCCAGTACAGAGTATATTTTAGTTTTAATGAATATTGGTTGGCATTTAAAAAAAAATTTGTTAGTCTAGCATCGAAAATGTCTTGGAGGGTATGAAGGGTACATCATATTCGATGGTTTACTGACACCAAATTTAATCTGAAAATTTTGAGTTGACGTCGAAACATTGTTCGAGTAGAGAAAAAATGGTATTACTAATATAAATAAAATTAATTTCTGTAATCAACTTGCTTTTGTGCAATCGAATGAAACACAGTGACCTGAAAATTATTGGATAAACGATAAACAATGAATGGCCAAAATCGATAAAATTTCGAAAATTTGGTATATGATTCTTGGTAAATTTTAAATAAAATTTATTTCTTTTAATTTATATAATACTACACATCCATAATTATCCCAACGAAGTATATAAAAACTTTTACATATTTTTAATCAACATAGTGCGCTTTCGGAACTTAACTTATTATCACAACAAACTGAAAAACTAATTGTAATTACAAACCACTTTGAAGTATTCCACACCATCAAAACAAATGCTTTTCATAAAATACATATATATATATATATATATACTAAGTTCGTATTATAAAATTTTGGAAAACCGAGAAACAAGTATTAATTCATTAATACAGTTAATGGTAAATCTATAATTTATAACGATAAACTAAATTTTA